GGGGATGTATGAACAAGAGGAGAGAACAATCCTGCTGAGCATTCCCAAAATCTTGAACAGCCATCCCTGGGAGTGTCCCAGGCCAGGCTGGACAGGGCTTGGAGCAGCCTGGGGTAGTGGAAGGTGTCCCTGCCCAGGCAGGATGAGCTCTGAGGCCCTTCCAACCCAAACCATTCTGGAATTCCAAGTGAGTTAAAATCACTTTTCACCAAAATCCATGGAGCTGATGGTGGCCAAAGGCTTCTCATTGACTCATGAATTGGTGGAAACCTCCTGAATTAGGATGAGATTTAAAAAAAAACAAAACAAACAAAACCAGAATTTGGGGGTTTCATCAGGGGGACTTTGAGGTAACCTTTGGTTTTCCTTTTCTCCTTCTAAATATATCCCTAAAAAATACCAGTGATCAGTCCTGGACTGTTTCTCCTCCTGAACTTGGCATGATCAGTTGTGTTGGCTGCTTTTCTTTGAAATTCAGAATTCATTCAGAGGGTTTTTTCTGCAACAAGCAACATCTTATTTAAATGAAACTAATAAAGCACTGAAGCAGCTTCTATTGCAACTGTTCATCTCCTAATTAAAGATTAGTTCTGTCAAGCAAGCAGTTTTTGGCTGTTCTCTTCTGCACGGGTTTCACAACATTTCTTACTCATCTGGGCACAAGTTGGAGTAATTTCTCCTTGCTCACAGGCTTCATTTCAGGCATGTGAGCAGTCCTGGAACTAAAGTTAGGCACATGAATAAATATTTCCAAGGTTGAGGCCCTTGTCTGAATCTAAATATTTTTCTCTTTGATCAGCTTTGGAGATAGCAGATACTTGAATTCTGGTAATATTTTAGTAGGGGAGGAAAAAAAAAAAGAAAACCCAACATGGTTATCTGGATGCTGTGCTATTTATGGTCAGCTATATTTTCAACCTCCCAAGCTAGAATGGAATGCTTTGTACTGCTGGAAGCTGGGAATCCACCCTGCTCTCCTATTTTTTGACACATTAAGTCTTCAAATCACCTTTTTCTGTTTGGCTTCAAGGTGGTTATTAGGCACTGGTGGTGAATATGTGTGAGCTAACCTGAAATCCAATGTTTAATCTATGCTGTTATTACTTGTAGGTGTATTTTCTTCACTTAAATAGATTTTTCCTAATGCAGCATGACTAAGAAGACACACTTTTAGTCATTTGATGCATTTAAATGACTCAAATTATTCGGACCCAGCATTTTAAAAACAAAATCTGCCTTGGCTTTTAATTGGTGCTGGTATTTGGGAGAGTGGAACAACTTGTTTGAAAATGTGCTGATGTTCATCAGTTATCAGACAAAATGTCTACAGGGTTTTTATCGTGGAGCCTAAACTTGCCAGCTCCTTTTGGAATTGAGGCTCCAGCTGTTCACCACACCCTGCTCTGCCTTCTTGCTGCTGTTTACAGTAGGAGGTGAAATATATTTTAATTTATGTTGTGCTGGGTGCTCTAACACGGTGAGGGGATTTTCAGGACTGCTTTCAAATTTAATATAATTTCCAAGTGAAGATCAGTTGCAGTGAAACACAGATAAACTCCTGGGAGCTCCTCTGTGATCTTTGATTGGATTTCATCCATTTTTACTCTGCTTCCTGCTGTAGTGGCACAGTGTTTGGGAAATGAGGAATGTCGTCCAGGTGGTGTTCAGGCAGGGAAATGGGAGAAGGGAGGAATGGGGTGCTGAATGCTCCCAGTAAGGATCAGTGTTGTAGCCTCAGCTCAGCTGAGTCTTCCACCTGAAATTTCTGTGATTTCCTAACTCGTGCCCAGGAATGATTTCAGATCCAGGAGGGGAGGGTCTTTGGGGGCTGGAGAGCTTCACCTTCAGCCTGGCTGGACAAAGCTCATCCTTTTCCCACTCCATTGATTTTAGGGAATACCTGTGAAGCAAAGGAAAGGCAGGAGAGGGTGGGGAGTGGTGGTTGTGCAGCACCCAGAGACTGTGCTGGGATAATTTGCTGCCTCCATCCCTGCTCCCACCGTGTCCCTGCCTCCTCCTTTGCTTCCCAACCTTCCCTGCCTCCATCCCTGCTCCCAGCCTGTCCCTGTGTCCATCCCTGCTTGCTTGGGACCAGAAGGAACCTCAGAAGCTGAGCCAAGGGGCTCCAGCACTGCCTGGGGTGGGGGGCACAGCCCTGGAATGGGGTCCCTGCCCAGGGAGGAGGATTCCCCAGAGCCAGCTGGATCCTGACCCCTTGTACCATCCAGCTGTGAGCACAGCTGTGCATTAGGAGCAGGGGATTTTGGCTCCCACCCCACAGGAATTTGATATTCACCGGTAACGTCAAAGCATTGAAAAAAAATTCCGGTGTTTTCAGCGCTGCTTTGTTTACAAAATCTTTTAAAGTTCCTTCCTAAATAATTAATCACCAGCCTAGTATAATAAGCAGAAAGGTTTTACACAACTTCTGGACCTGGAAAATAGGACATTAGTGTTTCACAGATGATAAAGAGCTCTGAACCAGCCCAGAGGTCCAGCAGTGAACTCACTTTGTGTTATCCACGAGCTCTGCCTGATGCTGCAGCAGCAGAGCCTGCAGTTCTGGGTGCTGATAAGAACCTCTGTAGGATAAAGTTTGTCACTAAAATGCTTCATTAAAGTACTTAGCAGTGGTGTTAGGGTTTTTTATGCAGCTTAGAAGTTCAAATGCATCAGATAAAAAAATGGGCGTAATTCATCCTAAGCATCTTTTCCTATCTTTCCCTGGATTCCTTTTTCTTTTTTCTTTTCTGCTTTTCAGTGATTGCTGCTCTATCTGCTGGCTGCTCAGGGTTCAGGCAGGGTTGGATTGGCCTGAGATGACTTTTGTTTGCTTTCCTTTGGGATTCAAGCTGTCTGTCCTGCACAGAGTCCTTCTTCCCTGCCTCAAATTCGTAACTGGGGGATGGGATGCTAAAGAGATGTGGCTTTGCAGGTAGAGCAGAACGAGGAGAGGATATTTCTTATTTGAATCAGAGTGGATTTCCCAGGCTTTTAAGATTAAAATAGAGCTTTTGGGGGCAGGAGGAAGGAGGATTACCACGTCTTCCCTTCAATTAATTAACTTTTTGCTGTTTATGCAATCACAGGCCCTATCTACCCCCTTAATTTGGAAGCTGCTGTTGTAGTTCAGCTAAATTCAATGCTGTTATCTGAAAGATGGCAAATGTCTTGCTGTGAATAATCATTTTCAGGAACAGGCAGACAACATTTTAATTTCCCTTGCCTAATGTGTCATCAGATGCTTGTTCTGGAGTTCCATATTAGTGCATGTTTGCACAGGGGCTTGGCATGTGGGAGCTGGCCAGTTTTGGGTGTTTCCACACTTGATGGCACAGCTCTTGTTCCAAGAGAGGGCTTAGGCTGGCTCTGTGCAGCCACTCAGGGTTTTCAGTAATGAGGAGGGAGCTGCTGGAGCTTTAGGACTGGGATTTTCCTGCCTGGGCCACTCCAGGTGGAGTTATGGAGGGGAGGAGGTGACAAGAGGAGCGTTTGGGGCAGTTTTGTGCTGCCAGTCAAGGAATCTTGGTTGGAATGGTCTGGCAAACTCTGGGAGAATGGTTTGGTTCTGGGATGGGGCTGTTGCTCAGCTCAGGATCACAGAAATGCCACCTCCAGGGATGGGCACTCCAGACCCTCCTGGGCAGCCCCTCCCAGTGTCCAAAACCTTTCCATGGAGAAATTCCTGCTGCTGCCCTGCCTGAGGCCCTGTATTATTCACCCTTATGCCAAATGTTCTACCTTTCACTAATTTGGGAGAAGATTCCAAACCCCCCTTGGCTCCAGCCTCCTTTCACCTGATCCTGGCTTTGGAGCTGTTCACGGGATTCACAGAATTACAGAATTAATTCACAGAATCACAGAACTCACAGAATTTACATAATTTACAGAATTCACAGAATTCACAGAATCACTGGGTTGGAAGAGACCTCCAAGATCATCGAGTCCAACCCAGCCCCAACACCTGAACTCAACCCTGGCCCCCAGTGCCACATCCAGGCTTTGTTAAACACACCCAGGGATGGTGACTGCACCACCTCCCCGGGCAGAACATTCCAGAACTTTATCACCTTTCTGGGAAAACTTTTTCCTGCTATCCAGGCTGTATTTCCCTTGGTGCAGCTGGAGGCTGTGTGCTCTGGTTCTGTCAGTGCTGCCTGTCCCTGAGACAGAGCTGCTGCTCCTTGTCCCTCTCCTGTTGTCCTTTTCTAATCCAGACTTGGGGACTGTTGGTCATTAAGAAATCAGTGTGTTTCAACTAAAAACATAAAATTTAAAAATAAAAGGTCATTTCTTGCCCTGATCACCTCTGTGGTGTTTGAGTTGTGTGGGATTGAATTTCTTCCCTCTAATCCCTCACCCCAGCACTTCCTGAAAAATGTATATAAATAGGAGAAAATGCATGAAGAATAATTATTTTATACATAGGGGGAAATTATCAGCTATAAACCACCTGCAGAGCCTTCTTTCAGAACAAAAAGTGATTTAAGTTACCTGTCCTTGCCTTACACAGCTCTAAATGTGTGTTTTGCCTTCCTAGTGAAGGATCTAAAACATAAATGGAGCAGGAATGGAGCTGAGCTTGTGAGTCTGAGAAGGAAATAGTTTTGTTTATGAGAGTACAAGTTTTGGGGCCTCAAGCTGGATGGCACCACCTGGTTCTGTCAGGAATTCAAGGGAAAAAAAATCCTGGATTCATAAACCCCACGTTTTCCTCAGTTAAAAATACAAATATACTTTTGTTCTCCCTTCAGCTTTGGATTTGTTGCTTTTGTTATCTATATGTAAAATACTACTTGGAATAGGTAATTTAATTTCAACTTTGTTGCACTTGTCTCGAAGATGGCAAGTTCATGGAGTTCCATGAAAATAGAGATGGTTTTTTGTGAAGGTACCAGAGAAGTGTAAAATAACTGTTTGTATTTGAGCACTAATGTTGATATAAAACCTGATATTGAAAAATAAAAGTTCATTGAATTTCTTTTTTTTTTTTTTTTTTTCAGGTTTCCTCTCAAAAAACCTTCGAGGTGAGTTCCTGAAATTTGCTTTTTTGTCTGTATTGTAAATTGTACTGCAGCATTTTTGCAGGGGGAATGCTTTTAAAAGTTAAAAAAAAATATATATACAGACACAGCTTGTAGCACGCATTACAGATGTGAGGAAATCAGTATCCAGATGGGGATAAGGTGCCAAAAATAGATTTATTGGTGGTGTCCTTGGCATGGGGTGACCATTTGCACTCTGTGACATGGCTGGGGCTCATCTTACCTGAGATTTGAGATGGTCAGGGAAGGAAGGGGACACTGTTGTCCCTTCTGGGGAGATCCTAAATCTTTAATTTTGGCATGCTGAAATATTTAAAGTTTGCTGGAAGAGTTAAGATTTCAGGAGGGTTTTTTCCACTAAATTTATTTGGCTTTTGAGATAAAATATGGGCTGATGTTGAGTGATAAAGAGAATGCACTTGCTGTTACCAATTCTGGAGGTTACCAGGACTGTTCCTGGAGCCTTGGATCCACTCCCAGAGATTGCAAGGGAGATCATTTTCCCCTTTGAATTCAGCCTGGGAATAAATTTTTTAAGGGAACTCGATGCCTACGCTTTAATCTGAATTTCTGGTGAGCAGGCAGAGCTGGGTGAGCTTTTTGTGAGCGCTCAGGCAGCTCCTGTGGGCTCTGGTGTGAGGATATTTTGCTTTTCTGTGCCCCAGACACGGCAGCATTCTGAGCAGAGAGTCTCCAGCAGACAAGAAGCAGAAGGTTGAACGCTGCAGCAGCACCCACGACTTCGATCCCACAGGTAAAGTCCCAAAATTCAAGGAAAAAAAAGCCAAACAAAAGCACTGGGAAGTCGATTAAAAATGATTTTAATGTGGTTTTCAGAGCTGGGTTGTTCTGCAAAGGCAATGTGGGCATTGAAATGAATGTGGGCTTGATTTTAAACACCCTCATCCTCAACCTGGATTAGTGTATCAGTAAATAATTATAACAACTTCCACTTTCAGCAAAGTCAGGAGGCAAAGGCTGTAATTAGCTGTGAGGAGTTCTTTAGTGAAGTCTGAAATTGGAGATGTGGTTGGCCCAGCCAGGGCTGGGTTTCCCTGCTGGGGTTTTAATTTTGGGGGGTTTCTTTTGTTCTTTAGTTCATTTTGATCCCACTTTACCCCTTGCAAAGTGAATTTCTCCTTCCCAAAGTGATGCATTTGAAGAGAAAAACTTCATTTTAAAGGATTTGCTGTCCTACTTTGATTTAGCCTGCTTTTATTTTAGTTAAATTAGGGAGATGAGGGTGCACACAGCATTCTTGTTCTCTCTGGAGCACTCCCCCAGTGCCTGCTCATGAAATTCCTGCCAGGCTCCTGTCTGAGCCTCCTGGCCCCATGCAAGGTGCATTTTTCCTGTCTGTGCATTCAGGCTTTTCCCTGGGGCTTGGGGAGCATGGCGGGGGGGAATGGAAGGGGGGCACAAATTTTGGAATGTGGGGTTATTTATAAACCATCCTGGTAATGGTTTCTGCCACTGGCTGCGTGAGTCCTTCTAGTGTGCACAAAATAAATGAAAAAGGGCTTTAAATGCCCATTTAGTGAGGGGAAAAAAGTGGTTTAGTGCTTGTCTTCTTTTCCTTTGTCCTTTGGGACAGGTAATGTAAAATTATTTCAGGTTGGGGGAGCTCTCAGGCTGTCAACTCATTTTGTGGAAGGAATTTAATTTCTCCAGAAGCAAACTTGAGGAATCCTGTAATCTTAATTTGCAGAGAGTCACTCCAGAGTTGAGAGCTGTTACCTGCTTTGATAGGGGAACTCTGCACTGCAGCCTGCAGAAAACCCTTCTCTTTTATTTAAGGGGTGAATTCAGGATGCTGAACTGCTGTGCCTGTGCTGGTTATTGACTCTGGGGAGGAACACTGCCAGAGTCTCCGTGCTTGGACTGGTTTTTATCTGTAGTTACTGCAGAGAATTCCTCTGGTCGTGGTCTAGCTCCTGTAACAGATTCTGTGTGCTATTACCTGTGTCTCCCTGTATTATTCACCCTTATTCCAAGTGTTCCACCTGTGTTTTGTTCACATCTTTTTTGTGTTTTGCACGATTTAACCCGATAAATCCGAGTCTGTGTTTTTTTCCATGAAGTTTTTTTTTTTGTATTTTTTTTTTTCCTCATGTTTGGTCTCCATATTTTCTATATCTCTCTCTCCTTCTCTCCTGCTCTCGTGCAGATAGCTCCTCCAAGAAGACAAAGTCTAGTTCTGAGGAGAGTAGATCCGAGACGTATGGTAAGCCAAAGCTGCAGCCTCCCCCTGGGCAGCTCCTGCTTTTCCTGTCTGTGAATCCCAGGCTTTTCCCCCTCCCCTGATCTGCATGGTCGGCTCTGCAGCAGGGAGTGACCCTGCACTCCTGGGCTTGTTGGCTGCAGTAAATGGCAGTAACAAGTTTGGGAAGGGAATATCCCCACCCATCCTGGTGCTGTCCCTGCACCACCAGGGGCCTGTGTGCTCCCTCAGCTTTGCCAGTGGGTCAGTCTTGGGGCTGTGGAATCCCCCTGCTCTAGGGACTTATTCCACTTCCAGTCTCTGGAGATAGTTGCATTCAGAGCTTAGAATCTAGAAGGATTTACAAGTTGTTTTTTGGATCCTATCAGCATCTTCAGCCCCTTGGACTTGGGCTGAATCTGGCTGCACTCCTTATTCCAAGACTTATTTCCATGACTCCACTCTTTCTTTTCCTTTACTGTTTTTTTTAAATTTATTTAATTCATGTTGAAAGCAGTCTGTGACACTTTCTGATTTTAATCTGTTCAGAAAATTGCTGCTGTGGGATTTTGGATGCAGTGACTCTTCCAGAATCATCAGCTTTATCATTCCACTGGAATAAAACTGCCAGGTGTTCATGGCTGTGCTCCAGTTCCTTAACCCACCTCTGGAATACAAAGTGATGCTGTCAGAGCAAGAAACATTAAAAAATAACCAAACAACAGCAACCCTGAAGAGTTTAAACCAACAGAGGCATGTTAGGAAAAGCTGGTGCAGTCTGGGGAGGTGTGTCCTGTTCTTTCTGTCAGATCTCTTCGTTTCCCCTGGAATTTTGAATCACACACTTTTTTTTTTTTTTAAAAAAAAAAAAGCAAAGTAATATGATAGTCACGTTCCTCAGGGTGTGAGAGTGTTCCTTCAGGAGCTGTAAACACCTTTGGAGGGTGCCTTGATGGAAACCTGTCTCGGGGAGAGCTGGCTTGCTGCAGCTTGTCATTCCTGCTGCCACCCTCCCAGGGAGCAGCAGGGATTTGGGGCTGAGCTTGTGGGTTTGAAGCCAGTTTAGCCAGGATCACCAGACCCCTGTGCTCATTTTTGCCTGGTGCTGCTTCCCCACAGAGTGCTGGAGGTGCTGTGGGTTAATGACAGGAAACATTTGCTGGGACATGTCTGTGTTTATCCCTCTGCCCCAGCCTGGCAGTGGCCAGAACCAAACAGAACTTCCTCATGTGAGCTCTGACTTCCCACAAAGCAACAGAACTTCCTCATGTGAGCTCTGCCTTCCCAGATACAAACAGAACTTGCTAATGTGAGCTCTGACTTTCAACAAACAGAACTTCCTAAGGTGAGCTCTGACTTCCCAGATACAAACAGAACTTCCTAATGTGAGCTCTGCCTTCCCACAAGCAAACAGAACTGCCTAATGTGGGCTCTGCCTTCCCCCAGGTTTCCTGCAGATGCTGTCCCCGTGCCCAGGATCCCTGGGAGCAGCTCCCACTCATCCTTCCTTCCTTCCCAGTGGCCTTGCCCTGCCTTTTGTCTGCTTTTCCCAGGTTTCTCTGGAATGTGTGCAGAGCTCTGCTGTTTGCTTTGGAAGGCACCAAACTATTCCAAACCCTCCAAGTAGAAATACTGTACTGATATTTTCCTCTCTGCTGACTGGATGTGGGCTGGCCAGTGCAAAGGGAATAATAGGGAGGGCTGGAATGACAGCAGGAAAAGGAGGAGTGGCTTTGGTGGGTGTTTGTTCTCACCTCTTGAAATTCTTAATCCAGGAGCCAGAATTTCCTGAAGTGTTCGAGGGCTTGCGGGGGCAGAGTGGGTCAGGGAGGGAAATTGTTCTGATGTACAGAAATGAATTGATAGTGACATGAAGCTCTCAGCTCTCTGTTTCATTCATAAACCCAACCATCTCACCTTTGTATATTCAACAAAATTCAGATTATCAGGAGAGAGAATGAGTGTAGCTTGTTATGCTGTAATTTGCTAATTAGTGCCATGACCTCCCATTGTATTAAATATCTTCTTCTCAATGTAGCATTTTCATCTCTTAAATGAACTTAAAACTGAAATTACCTTTCAGGGTGGTAGGTGAGGCATCAGCTCCTCTTTCCTTTTCCTCACAACTTGGTTACTCTCCAAAAATATCTTCCTTTATGTTTAGCAATCATCAATTTCTGGCCTGAATATTAGCCTGGACTTGACACAAACTCTTTCACATATTTTCTCCAACTTTGTGATAAGTTTTTGGTTCTTGTTTTGAAACTCCAGGTTTGAGATGTTTTGAAATTGAAACTTACTCTCCCTGGGGATTTTTTGCAGTCCTTACCAGCTTTGTGTCTTTATGTTGTGGCCACCATTTTTACAGAGAAATTTGCCTTTATACAAGTTCTGTTTATCCTTGTGGAGCAGCATTTCTGACAATATTTTATAGCCAAAAAGCTCCCCAAATGAAGTGAAACATTTGGCCACTCTCAAAACCCCAAGGGGTTTGGCTTTTTTGTTTATGGAATGATTCATTTCAAATCCCTCTGTTAAACTGCATTTTCTTACGGTGGCCTCATGGCCCCAGGGGAGATTTTAGTTCCCAAATCTCAGCTCCTAGGCTTGGACTGGACTTGGGAGATGGAATTCACATCCCATGGAATCCCAGGCTGCTTTGGGGTGGGAGAATCTTTAAAAATTATTTTGTTCCATGGGCAGGGACGCCTTCCACTGGCCCAGGTTGCCCCCAGCCTCGTCCATCCTGGTCTCTCCATCCTCTCAGTCAGTATTTTAGAGTGAACCCTGCTCTGATTGTTGCTAAAGAAATTCCTGTATTGTTAAATAGCTTCCAAATAGGATGTAGGGAAGAGAAAAAGAAAAATGAGCTTCCCGGAGAAGCTGTTGGGCAGCCCAGATGTGCCTGGCCAGGCTGTTTGAGACAATTATTTTGGCCCTGGGCTGTCAGTGACCTTGAGAAGTCCAGACTTTGTCCTTCCACCCTCCCAAAGACGCTCTTGGAGCAGGGCTGGAGAAGGGAGAGGGACGAGTGCCACCTACTGAACCTTCTCTCAGCTTTCCTTGCAGCTTTTCTCTCTGCTTTCACTTTTAATTTTAACCTCTTCAACTCAGCACAGGTTTGGCTGCTTTCTTGTCCTCCTGGTTTGAGTGAGTTTGAGGGAATTTACATCTCCACGAGGACAGAAAACATTTAAATTTATTGTTTTTCCTCCAGAATTTTAGGACTCCACTCCAGACACAAACAGAGACTGATTTTAAACCATAGTTAAGGGATGTCTCTTCACTTCATGACATAAAGATACTGTTAAGGAAAGCAAAAATGGGAATAAGATAATTAATAATTTTATTTTGAGTATTGTCAGTGATGAAATCTGATGACTTTGTAATTATCAGCTGGAAAAAGTGAAATATCATGGGTGGGATATTTCAAAATGAGCAGAGTAAAAGCACTTGAAGGTTGCTTCAGGCAGGGAGTGCTATCAGAGCTGATCTAGTTCTGCAGGTCACAGTGTTATCTCCAGAAAACTTCCAGATAACTTCATTAAAATCACTATAAAGTGTATCTCTGTCAAGTGTGCTATCTCCTCTACCTCATTTCAGCCTTTTATATTGGATTAGGAGAAGGGTTAAGTGTCCCTTATCTGAAGAAAACAAGTACAGGAAAAAGCAATTATGGACTAATTTCAGGTCGAGTTGTCCTAATTCCAGTTGTTTCTCCATTCTAAATTTATAAGGTGGTCTTGGGTGAAATTGAAGCTTGTGGACTGAAAGAGTTTAACTTGAATAAACTTGAATCAAATTCACTTACACTCTGCCAGGTCAGTTTATGTTATGTGGGCACTGCTTTGGCATCAGGAGGAAGTTTATCAGTAAATCCAAGGATTGTTGCTTCTGGAGGAAAAGAAATCCAGTGGCAGAGCAGACTCAGGGCTCTCTGGTCTTTAACCAGGGCCAGTCTTTGTGAGTCCAAAGCTGAGTTTAGTGCCTTGCAGAGGAGCTGTTCCTCTGAAACAGCACCAATTCCCACACCCCAGCCCCGGGCAGCATTCTTGGGAAGTGAGACTTCAAGAAGCTTGGTCATATAAAAGAAGGGGAGGTGCAGGAGGGAGAGGCACTTTCCTCAGCTCTCCCTGTGCTCAGGGGGTGAAAGGTGGGGGGATTTTCCTTCCCATCCACTCTCAGCCCTGCAAAGCAGGGATCCCGTGATTTGCTCCTGCTTTGTTGGCAGGAGGGGAATTCCTGGGATGTGATAGTGCTGCAGAAGTCCTGGATTACTTTTTCCACTGCTCCCACACCCATTTTCATCTGTGCCACACTGGAGGAGGGCAGGACTGGCTGGGCAGGCATTGTTGGCTCTTGGGGCTGCTCATTTCCATGGGGAGTTGCTGCAGAGCAGTGAAAGGAGCCCTGGTGGTTTGGGAGCAGTGTGAGACAGGGGAATGGCTCCCTGCTCTGGTACCATTCATACCTTAAAGCTCATTCCAGAAAAGCCAGTCTGGCTGGGACAGCATCTTCCCAATTCCCCGTGTTCCCTCCACAGCAAACAAAACTGCTGCAGTTCTGCAGTCGGATTTGGGACAGCTCTGATTCCTTTCTCAAGGTGCCAGTGTAGGAATTTTGCCTGCTGTGCCTTTAGAAATGGAAAAGCAAAGCAAGCTGTTAGAAATAAAGGTGATGGAAAGCATTTCCAGAGTTCCTGAAGTCACTTTTCAGGATGAGGGCTGTGTTTTGGGAGGATTTCTGCAGCTGCTTCTAGGAAAGTGCTTGGCAAGGAATATGCCAGGGCTGCTGCTTGCTTGTGCTTTGTCTTTCCATTGTTCCATTTCCAGGGGAACAAAAGACATCCCCAGCATTCCACCTGGTCCAAATGCTGCACCTACTGAATGAATTTATCTCTGCATTTGTGTTCACATTATGCTGAGTATACCAGGAAACAAAACAAGTTGTCTTTGATGTCTCACAGCAAATTAAAGGAGGGGCACATTCAATCTCATCTCCTGGGATTTTGGCCCTGGACTGGTCTTTATGTCAGAAATCCTGTTCAGGACAGTTAAATGTGGCTTGTACTTCTTCACCTCTGCTGTTCTGGCTCTGTGCAACATTTCACCTGGAGCAGAAGGTGCCCCAGGAGGAGATTTTGGCTGAGAATTGGGAGAACTTTTCCTGATCAACAAATCTGTTTAAACCCAACCTCCTCATATTACTCTGAGGGATTTGTGCTTCTGTTTTAGAGCAGCCTGTAGAAGCTGTGAGGTGTTTCTGAACTATTAATGCAGACAAAAGAAATCCTGCTCATTGGTGTGGGTACTGCTGCTCTTCTTTAAAAGCTGCTTTTCCCTCAGGTTGTGTCTGATGTGCCAGAGCTGTCTGCATCTCTGTTTTGTGTAGCTGGAGCAATAAGCTTGACCTGTCTTGACATCCCTCTCCATTTCTGGACTGCTGCCCTGTTCCTGTCTCTCCTCTGTGCCGTGTTGTCCCCATTCCTTTGAGTACTGTGTGATTATCTGGGAGGATAAGGTTTTGGACTGATGCCTGGCTTGTGTCTCTCTGTGTTGCCCTCCCTGTGGTGCCCCTGTGTCCCCAGGCCTGGTGCAGAGGTGTGTGGTGATCCAGCGGGATGAGAACGGCTTCGGGCTGACGGTCAGCGGGGACAACCCCGTCTTCGTGCAGTCTGTCAAGGAAGGTGAGAGCAGCCCCCAAACCTGCCAGCTTGCCATGGCCATCCTGGAAATGGCTGTGAGCTGGAGCAGAAAACTCCCAGACTCCTGCCAGGTGGGGTGGCTGCAGCTTGGGAAGGGATGTGCAAGGTCAGGGTTGAGCAGTGAATTTATTCCTCTGAATTTTCAGCCACTGACAGAACGAGAGGACACAGCCTTAAGCTGTGCCAAGGGAAGTTCAGGTTGGACACAAGGGAAAAATTCTTCACTGAAAGAGTGATTGGGCACTAGAATCACCTGCCCAGGGAGGGGATGGAGTCACCATCCCTGGAGGTGTTTAAGACAAGACTGGACGTGGCACTCGTGCCATGGTTTAGGTGATGAGGAGGTGTCAGGTCACAGGATGGACTTGGTGATCTCAAAGGTCTTTTCCAGCCTGGTTCATTCTGGGATCTGGTGGGTTTGGAGCTGACCTCTTCGGTCATTCTGTGGTGATCTCAAAGGTCTTTTCCAGCCTGGTTCATTCTGGGATCTGGTGGGTTTGGAGCTGCATCCCAGGGGAGGAAATGACTCCTTGGGACGTGGTGGGATCATGTCCTGGTGTATCCAGTGCAGGTGAAAGCAAAACTGCTCTAGACTAGACAGCCAGAGATTTTACTGACAGAGGAACCTGGGCTGAGTGCAGGAGTATTTTGCATGTTTTACAGAAGTCTTAAAACCATTTTTGCTATAAATGATTGCATTGAAACGGGAACTGAGTGATTTCTTGCCTCTGCAGATGGAGCAGCCATGCGGGCTGGAGTGCAGACAGGTGATAGAATTATCAAGGTAAGGACATGGAAATTGGGAGAGAAATGGGTCCTTTATCTTAAATGAGCTCTTTCTCTAAAAAAACAAAACAAACACTGATGTGTCTGCTGTGGTGTTTGCATTAGGAATGGCCTAAGCTTCAGTGTTCTGGGAATGGCTCTCCTCCAGATCCTCATTTCAGAATTTTATGGACAAGTTCAGCATCCTGCCAGGCTCAAGTATCACAAATGCAATAAAACCAGAAATGGCAGGGAAGAGAAGGAAGGCAGAGTTGTTAATAATGATCTGTAAATAAACTGCCTGCCTGAACTGTTGTTTTCCCCCTAACTGCTCCCACATCTGCGTTCTTTTTTAGTCCCAAGCAAGTAAGAAATCAAGTCAGTAACTTAAAAGACTCTGTAAACTATTGCTGCAAAATGCTACAGCAGCTCCTGACACAGATGGAGCTGGGATTTCAACCAGGCATTGAAATTAATGAACTAAATTAGCTACCCTGTTGTTTTTCTGCCCCGGCAGAGATGGATTGCCTTTTTTTTTGTTTGTCTGCCTGCTTGAGTTCTTTTGGTGTGTGCACAGTTTTCTTTCTGCAGAGCTCTGCTCACTGAGATAAACTGTTAGAAGGATAAATAATTTATCTGGTAATGTCTTGAAAGAGGCAGTAATGGAGATGGGGGAGAAGAAAATGCTGCTGTTCTTCTGGAATGTGTGGAATTGCTTGGAAACAAGGAGCCAAACACTGAATTTTCTCTGCTCCCTGCCAGGTGAACGGGACTCTGGTAACACACTCGAACCATTTGGAGGTGGTCAAGCTGATCAAGTGTAAGTAAAGGCAGGTGGCTCTTGTGTCACCTTGAAAGTGTGACAGGCATCATTTCCAGGGCCCTGCCAAGTGACAGGGGTGAGGCCAGCACTGAGAGATCAGGGGAGTGTGTGAAACAGGGAAGTGAAATTGAAATGATTTTAACATCCTGAATTTAAGCTGATGCACTCTCCTGTAGCTTCTCCTGAACTTAATGTTTGAATTACCACCAAACCTTGCCTGGATGCTTTATTTCCACTTTAAATACCACTTACTGTGCATTGCTGTGTGATGCCTTTACAGCACTATAGGAAATATTTTCCTGGTGGATTTTATTCCTTGAGAAAGGAGGTGCTGGTGGTTTATTTTGTGTGTGTGCACTGCAAATATAACCTGCTGGGCTGGAAGTTGGATTGCTTGCTTTTATAAAGGCTGATTCTCATGAAATTTTATGGAATATCTGAAATTTAAACAGAATTCTAAAGCAGGCGGTGCTCCCAGGCTCAGTTTGGAGGAGGAATGGTGTGAGTTGTATCTCCAGGGTGAGGGAAATCAAAGAAGCACAGCAATGTCCCCGTGTGTGTGACCTGTGCCTGTCCTTGTGTCCCCACAGCTGGTTCCTATGTAGCTCTCACTGTCCAGGGGCGCCCTCCAGGGTCGCCCCAGATTCCCTTGGCTGATTCTGACGTGGATCTGGCAGCTTTTGGGCATATGTCTCCCATCATGGCATCCCCCCACTCGCCTGGCACGTCAGGGAATGCAGAAAGGATCACCAGCCCAGTGCTCATGGGGGTAAGGCTTGGAGCTCTCTTCCCAAAAGGAGAAATGGAGTCGGGTGGTTTTGGCCTGAATTTTATTTTTTTTTTTGTACTTCAAATGGGCATTGGGATATTTATCCTGTCTGTGGGTATTTATTCACTTCTGAAAAAGCATATGCAGTTCTATCTTGCTGGGACAAATAATATAAATAATAATATTTTTAATATACAAATATATACATATATATTTTATATATATATATAATATGTATATATGTATATATATGTATGCAAATAATGTATATATTATTTGTGTGTGTGTGTGTATATATATGTACAAATAGTAGAAATACAGGTTTTTGTACTGGTTTTATACAAGATTTTTATACAAAATTAAGAAAGAATACATAGTATAGGGTTGGAAATTTGAATTACTTCTCAGCAGGGGCTGAGCTGGAATTGGACACTGAACTGCAATGTGCACATGGAGCAGAGCTGATCCCAGGGAGAGACCCCGGGAGCGCTCGTGCATTTTGGGACCATTTGGGTTCACCTTGGGTTCCTTTTGGGACCATTTTGGTTAATCTTGGGTTCCTTTAGTGACCATTTTGGTTCATCTTGGGTGCAGCCCTGGCTGGGCTCTTTCACTGCCCAAGGTGCATCCATGGAGGAGATCCTTTTAATAAATCCCTGCTTTATTCTTTAGCTCTGTCCAGCCTCTGCTCTAGCTCAGCCTTCCCAAGGTATCCTGGGCAAGCTGCAGTTGCTCAGACAGGCAGGCTGCACCCTCTGCAGCTGAGATTTGAAGTTGGCACTGTCATCTTAATCAGGATGTGGAGTACATTTTACAGTGGGCTCTCATCTCTGAAATCCTGCTTTTAAGAACAAGTGCAAGCAATGATGTGTTTATTATCTGTCAGTGCAACTTAAAATACACCCTGAAGTCATTCTTGGAAGCTTTAAACAATTTTGTTTTCACTTTTGAAAAGAAATTAATTTAGGCTGTGTCATTTTTCCCTTTTCCCCTGTGTTAAAAGTGCTGAAAATTTGGTGTGGTTGTTTTATCTTAGAAAAGAACTGCAGCCTTTTCTAGATAAATGAAGGTTTTATGAGTAATGTGAGCTGCTGGCTTTTGAAGGAGTTGATTTTTAAGGATAGTCTTTTGAAATATTCTGCTTTCATCTTTGCAGGATGGAGTCCTGTCCTCCAGGTCTGTGTCAGAGTCGCTGCAGATCAGCGAGGGGGAGGCAGAGAGTGGGGACAGTGGCAGCAAACTGGATTTCAGTGGTGACAGCCCCTCCAGACCCAACAGTGACATTGCTGATGTGAGTTTGGGGCAGCCCCAGGGTTTTGCTTCTCTCTCTCTTGCATTTGGGTTTCCTTGGCAGATTCTGTGTGTGTGCTGTCCCGTGCTTTACTGGAACAAGCTCCTCAGTCCTCACCAAAACCTTTCCCTTTGAAAACCTGGTTTACTGGACTGCTGTTAGAGACTGGGAGAGAATAAATTTGGGGTTTTATCCAGGATTAGATTGTCCTGGCATTAATCCCTGTAACCAGACAAAGATGGATGCCAGCATGTTTCTCTAAACCCATTTGCCAGTTAGAGCATCTTTGAAGGGAATATTCCAACTGCAGCACCGTGACTCAGATCCAGGCAGCTTGCCCTGAGAGTGGGAAAGAGCCTTCCTTCTACCAAATCAGCTTCAGTTCCTGCCTCCAGCAAAGGCTTTTGGTGTGCTCACTCATGATTTATCAATCTGTGTGCTCCTGTGCTCTCCCTTGGTGCTTCATCCTTAATTAAGGCACTATCTGATTAGTGCAGGGGAATTGAGACTCCCTGCTTGGATTTGGCCTAAGTTTGTTGATTAACTTAAGGATGTGGGAGCTAAATTTGTCCCAGCAGTTGGAAGTGAAAGTGAGCTGGGTGAGATGAGAGCATCCACAACTCTGTTTTGAAACATTCCAAACCTGACCAGATCCCACTCAGTGTTTGTGTTTAATAAATGCACAACAAAATCCGTAATTATCTTCCTAATAATCATCACTGTCAGTATTGGGGGTGGTATTTGATCAGTGCAGGTGATTGGCACACCAAACATTCCAGCCTTTAATCCAGCTCTGAGAAACTTAAGGAGCAGGGGTGAAAGAAACCTTTGGAAGTGGAAAGAGTTCTGCAGCTGGGAAAAAGCCAGGCTGGAAAGCAGCAGCCTGAGCAGTGGCCTGGCTGGAAAAACCTTTGGACACACTGAAGATGAGGCAGCAGCACGTGGCTTTTGCAAATAAGGCTCTGCTGGGCTTCCTGAGCAAGAGGATTGCTGGCAGATGGGAGAAGAGAGCTGAACTGTGAGGAAAGGTGGAGAGAGCAAGGAAAATGCCAAGGGCTGGGGATTTTACAGCTCTGCTGTTGGTCACTGTCACCAGATTTCTGACCAAAACTTCTGCATTCATTTGAGTTTTGGAGTTTTTTTTGTTTTACTGTGCACGTAGGACACAGATTTGACTCTGGTTTTTCACACCTCCTTTTCCTGTGAGAAAGGAGAAGTTTTTGGCTGTTGTGGCTGACAAACTGCCCAGTGCAGTTCTCCCTTTCCTGGATCTGCTGGTACTTACCAGAACTGAACTTCCCTCTTTCCCAGAGCCCTCGCAGTGGCCTGAAGGAGAGGATTTATCCAGATGAGAGCCCAGAAAAGGCTGAGCTTCAAGATACTGTGAGTACAAAACATCAAGTGTCACAACAGATCTCTTCTAGCAGGCCCATTAAAATCTTGCTGCTTTCCCCCACTTTCTAAATGGAGCATGCCTGAACTTTGCTTTAGAAAATAAAATGCAATTAAAGCAGTGCAGGGGAATTTAATTAGCTGAGTAAATGTTTATGGAGCTTAAGAGCAGGGCCATTTAGAGGTGAGAAATACCTGATCAGCAGTGAAACAGCTGGGCCTGGAACAAGGAGAGCAGTTGCACATGTTTTATTCCTTGAGTCCAGCCCTTTTTTTTTAGGATATTCCCTCATTTGGGGGCTGCCATTTCAAGTGGAGCTCAGGAGGAAGTGCAGAGCTGTCTGAACACATCATCATCATCCTTGGGATGACTCCTGGATTCTCCTTGCCCTCCTCCCAAAGCCACATTTCCCCCTGTGCAGGGATGGCATTGGGCACGTGCCAGGTGTGCTCCTGGCTGCAGCTGCTCTTGATGCACCTCATCTGATGTTTGGGAATGTTTGGATTTTGGGAGAGGGATCCGAGGTGGAGTTTTTGAAGAGTTAAAATGATCAGAGCATCTCCCAAGTTTTCCTGTGAGGGACAATCCCAAGGTTGTGCTTTTCTCCTTCTCTCCCCCAGGACTCCCAGTCCAGTGTTGGAAGTCCCCTGGCCCGAGTGGGGACTCAGATCATTGGAGCAGAGGATGATGATTTTGACACGGAGCAGGAGCAGGTGGGAATGACTTTCAGCCTTGTTTCCCCACCAACCACAATTCTCTTCCTCTGTTCTAAACTGCTGAGTACTCCTTGTATGGTGAAATAAGGATTTGGGAATTCATGTTGTTGCTGATCTTTCCAAATAGAAATATTTGGGGAATTTATGACAATATCCATCTTTGAGTCTGTTATCCAAACCTCAATTTATTATCTATTTATTTATTTAAATTATATATAAATAAATTATATAATTTTATAAATAATTATAAATTTATTTATTTATAATCGATTTAATTTTCTTTAGTTTTGTATTAAATCCTGCATTCTTGTCACAGCAGCACAGCTACCACCTATGTACTCTGAATTATTTTAGCTGTCCTTTCTCTTATTCCTGACTAACTCAGATGTAATTCCCTGTCCCCTGCAGATCAACGGGCAGTGCAGCTGCTTCCAGAACATCGAGCTCCTGAAATCCCGCCCGGCTCACCTGGCTGTCCTCCTGCACCACGTGGTGTCCCAGTTTGATCCTGCAGCACTGGTGAGAAGCTCTGGAATTATTTCCCTGGCTCACATTTTGGGGATCTTCACCAGAATTTAGCAGATCTTGTGTAGCACTCACTGCCATGCCCTGGCAAGGAGGGAAATGCAGACCCTGTGCAGGCCTGAGGGTGATAAATCCACATTTATTTCCTCAGATAAAGGGAGAAACACAAAGAGAATTGTTCCCTTTACGTTTGGCTGCTTACAAATAATTATTTATCTCCTGAAAGCCTCTCATTCCACCCCAAGGTGTGGGATCAGTTGTCTACAGGGAAGCTTTGACCTCTCTGTGCTCCTCTTCCAGCCCCTTCCCTCTCCCCCCATTGCCAGGGCACCTCCCTAGGAGCTGGGAAAGCTTTCAACCCAGCACTGCTGAATTCCTTGAAATACTGCAAAGAAAACTTAGGAGTTTTCATGGTTTTCACCTCATTTCTTGCCCTCCTGTTCCCCACAGCTGTGCTACCTTTACACAGACCTGTACAAACAGACCAACTCCAAAGAGACCCGGCGTGTTTTCCTGGAGTTTTACCAGTTTTTCCTGGACAGAGCTGCAGTAGGTTCCTCCTGTTTTCCTCATTTTTACACATCCAGCAAGTTGACTTTGACCTTTCTCCACTCACCTGAACTGTGAGAAACTAAGGGTGTTAAAGCCCTCCAAAAGAAACAGTTTAAAAAATCAAAATCGGAATATTGTTTAATAAATAACTTCATAAAATGTAAAAATGTAATAAAAGTTTTAAGTATTTTTGTTGAAATGTTACCAGGGAATGAATGGCCTCAGATGCCTGGTAACAAAGTAAATCCCAGGGGATTTGTTGTTGATAGGAGAAATAATTTAATGGTAGGTAAGCAAGTTCTGGCTCTTCTACGTTGCTTTTTAGTTAATAATTGCTGTGGGTATAGATGTGGCTGTTCCAGGGATTGGGAAATTTTATATCTCTGTTGGAAAGCTGAGAAAATTCTTTGTTGTCATAAATTAAACTCCCAGAAACTGCAGCAGAGCTTCATGTACCACATGTTCACCTTAAATAATCCTGTGAATGGTAATATATTCATGGGAGTCTCCCCTTTTCAATCCAGCAGGTGCTCAGGTTGGATGATTTTGGCTTTTGAGGGAATTTCCTGGAGTGATTTGTGTGTTTTATTGGGGTGCTGGTTTCTCTGTGGGTTCTCCCAGCCTTTCTTTCCTTTTGCAGAACCTGAAAGTCCCAGTTCCAGAGGAAATCTCCTTGGAATTAGGTAGGGTGGGAGTGAAGGGCAGAGGGTGGGTTAATTCAGGGAAATGACTTTATTGAAGTCATTTATTGAAGGTGGTGGCTGTTCCCAAAGGAATAATTGGTGAATTTTCTGCCTCAGACAGGAGAAGGCCAGAGCTCCTCCCTGAAGAGCTGCACCGCCAGTTCATCCAAACCATGCAGGATAAAGTCTGCCCAGAGGTTCAGAGGAACCTGGAAGATTTCAGGTACCAAAAGCTCTCAGTGGAGTTTCCTTTTCATTCATATTTGATTTCAGTCAGTGTTCCAGCACAGGGAAACCTGAGGGAGATAAAATTCCTCTTGGCTGGATAGGAATATACCAGGAATACACCCTGTGGCCAATTCTTAAATCAAGTCATCAGCTGCAATCCTAGAGCTTGGATTCTTCATTCCTGGAAGCTGTGTGAGGAAATGTCAGAGTATTTTTTCTTAGGTTTTGTTGTATAAATCTCTCTTACTGATTGTGTTTATAATCAGCTTATATATTTTTTTTCCTGTCCCTATTTTCCTTCCCTCTCCCCTTTGGCCAGGGAATAATCCCCTTTACAGAGCTCAAGCTGGGCCAAGGGAAATACAGGTTGGATATTAGGAAGAAGTTTTTCCCAGAAAGGTGATAAAGTTCTGGAATGTTCTGCCTGGGGAGGTGGTGCAGTCACCATCCCTGGGTGTGTTTAACAAAGCCTGGATGTGGCACTGGGGGCCAGGGTTGAGTTGGGGTGTTATTGCAACAGGTCAGGACTGGGTAATAACTGGTATAGACTTCATGCATTTATAGAAGCTTAATAATACTTTATTAAGAGAACCATAGTTTTTTATACCTTAGTTTGCTATAGGTGGATTTGATGGGTCCTTTAATTAAAACACCATCACCATTGGCTAATTAAGAAACTACTCTTTGGTAAACAAATCTCTATAACACATTCTACAAGTTCAAAATAACAGGTGCAGCAAGCTAAGATAAGAATTGTTTCTTATTCTTTTCCCTGATTTTCTCACAGCCTTTCCCAGAGCAATGCCTGGGAAAGTTGTGTGACCAGAGAGCTGCTGACAGTTGGGGCTGGGTTGGACTTGATGATCTTGAAGGTCTCTTCCAACCTGGTGATTCTGTGAATTCTGTGATTCTGTGAGCTCTCACAGGCATGGAGTAGAAGTTGATAATTAATTTGCTTTTTCATGTGCTAAGAGCTCCATGCCAAGCTCAGCAACGAACTATTTTATACCTAAAAACCTCATGTAGATCCTTCAAACACCCCAAAAGCCCCTCTGTGATGACACCCTGAGTGCCACAGGGCAATTCCCAGCTGCAGGTGATGCTCCCTGTGCCCTGTTGCAGGCAGAAGAGGAGCATGGGGCTCACCCTGGCCGAGGGGGAGCTGAGCAGGCTGGACGCAGAGCGGCTCCGCGACCGCAACGCCGTGGAGAAGGAGAGGAGCTGTGCAGAGCAGATCCTGGCCAAAATCGAGGAGGTCCTGTAAGTGACACCAAATAGGAAGGTGGGGGGAAAAAAATAACCTTAAAGGTGCTCCCTCAGACGTGGGAAAAGCGGGATGGAGGAACTGGGGAGTGGGATTTGGTGTCAGTGTGTGTAGATTGCTGCCCCTGAGTGTTGGTTGGGGTGGTGACAGCAGGGCTGAGGCAGGAGGGAAGGGAAGGCTGTTTTGTCCAGGAGGCTGCTGTGAAATAGTGCAGGGAATGCTGCCGTTGTCAGCCTGTGCATTATTAGATCAGAGCCCTTTTCCTGTAGAAACAACAGCTTCACAACCCATTTTCTCCTTTTTAATGCGGGCTGAATCCAATTTCCACAGCTAAACCTTCACTTTTGATTCTTGATTTTATTTTTTTTTCCCCTGCTGGGAGTGCTGAACATTCTAAAGGACACTTCAACACAACTACTGATGCTCTTGGTGGATGGGACCCGGTGTTAATTGGGTTTTGAGTTTCATTTGAAAACCCTTTCTTGTTTTTAGGATGACATCTCAGCCTCTGGAAGAAGACAAGAGGTAATGGGAGCTGGGCAGCTCGGGCTGTGTTGTGCTGATGGAACACGACAGCCCTCTCCCGGCTGTTCTCCAAACTCCTGAATCCCCTGGCACAAATCATTGGAATTCAGAGCACCAGCCTCTTCTTTGCTGATGTTTGTTGCCTGTGTTTCACATCTTAAAAATTACTGTCACTGAGAGTTTGTGTTTATTTTTGTTTTGTGTTGTAACTGCTTCAATCTGCTCTAACATTTATTTTCTGTGTGTGCCTTGTCCTGTTCAGTTTTTATCTTAGCAGCTTTTCCTCTGCTTTTTGCAGTCACCTTTTACTGCTGCTTATTTCTACCATAACTCAAAGCTATAATGTGACATCAAATGTGGTTTTAGTGTAGAATTTTAGGACCTTCTGTGTAATTCTCAAATTGTATTTTCACCTGCTGGGCTTCTGTGCCTTTTATCATGGAATGATTTGGGTTGGAAGGGGCCTTAAAGATGAATTAATTCCAATTCTTGCCATGGGCAGGGACACCTTCCACTGTCCCAGGTGCTCCAGCCTGGCCTTGGAGACTTCCAGGGATCCAGGGGCAGCCACAGCTTCTCTGGGCACCCTGTGCCAGAGCTTTCCCATCCATATATTCCATCTTTATTTACTCCATAATTTACAAAACGATAAATTCTGATGTTGCCTGAACCTCCCCATTATCTGTGGGAATTTACTTCCGTTCATTTCATCACTTGAATTTAAAAATGAACTTCTCAGCAGAACCTTGGCACTTGACCTTAATTTTATTGACTCGGTGTATTTTCCCAATATCTTTTTCTTAAACCTCCCTGTTTTTTTCTGTGTTTGGCAGCTCCACGATGCAATATGTGATCCTCACCTACATGAAACACCTGGGAGTGAAAGTCAAAGAGCCTCGGAACCTGGAGCAGAAGCGGGGCCGCATTGGTTTCCTGCCAAAGATCAAGGTAGTGCTGCCCTGCCCACAGAGGGTTTGTGTGCCATTCAAACCCCAGTTTCGCAGGAAAAAAATTAAAAATGGGTGTGATTTTTATGTTTCTGGGATTGCTGAGCTGCACAGCAAACCTAAGAGCTGAAATTGGGTTCTGCATCTGTTGGCAGAGGCGTGAATTTGAAATAATTGGAATTTTTTCCTTTATCTCTACCCCTGAATTCACCTTGTTTTTGGCTGTTATTAAAACTTCGGGGGAGGAATATTTCAGAGAACACAACCTTAAACCACAGGAGAGTCTCATTAAAGCTGTTGCCTTGTTTACTTCAATTTTTGCTGGAGAAACTTACCCAAACCCTCCTGGTTTGTGATGCAGGAGAGCTCCTCTCCCTGCCACCCCCACTTTTCCAGTTATATAATGAATATTTCCACCAAAACTTCATCCCTGTGGGTGTGATCCCTTGTCTCCCACAGCATGAGGGTGTATCTGGTCACACTAGTTACTTATTTTCATCAACATTTCAGCTTCCTTTGAAATATTAAGAGAGTTTCAAGCAGTTCTGCACTAACCAAAAAGGTGAAACAGTGTGAAACCAAAAAGGTGAAACAGTGTGAAACCTTTTAGAAGCTTTGTGTCCTCTCCCTTCTGCAGCTTTGAAGAACTGATTAAAATCTCAGCAAACAGCTGGATTTGAAGCAGTGAGCGATGAGTTTGCTTTTCTTTTCCTGCAGCAAAGCATCAAGAAAGAGAAAGAAGGAGAGGAGAAAGGGAAGAGGAGAGGCTTCCCCAACATTCTGGGCCCCCCGAGGAGACCGAGCCGACACGACAGCAGTGCAAGTATGTCAGCCAGGAACCCCCTGCTAGCCTGGGAGCCACAGAACATCCCTGCTGCCTTCCAAAATCCATGCCAGGAACCCCCTAACCCCCTGTTTGCCCCCCTAAACCTCATCCCACCCATCCTGCCTCACCCAATCCCAGTCCTCCCAGTTTGGACCCTGCTTCTGCCAATTCCCTCCCAACCCCGTCTCACTTGGAGGGGTTGTGGAATAGAATTTTGGGCTGGGATTGAGGCATTTTGGGGAAGGATTGAGTGATTTTCAGTAGGATTGAGTGATTTTCAGTAGGATTGAGTGATTTTCAGTAGGATTGAGTGATTTGCCTTAGGATTGAGTGATTTTCAATAGAATTGAGTTATTTTCAATAGGATTGAGTGATTTTCAGTAGGATTGAGTGATTTTCAGTGGGATTGAGTGATTTTCAGTAGGATTGAGTGATTTTTCATTAGGATTGACTGATGTTCAGTAGGATTGAGTGATTTTAAACTTCTTCTTGTTAAAATCCAGCTTCGAAAACACACAAACCTGTTTTGGTCCTGCGATGCTGCTTCTCTCAGCACTGAAAAGGTGGTTTCAGCAGGGTGATGATTCTTTTTGGTCCAGTTGGCAGGGCCATGGAGATGCAGAAGCCCAGGCACCCCAAGCACTCACCCACAGCCTCTTCTGTGAGCCCAGAGCCCCCCGAGTCCAGCAAGATGCGCCAGAGCGGCTCCTCCAGCGATGGCACAGATGCCCCTTACCCCCCTGCCAACGCCATGTCCCCCCTGGCCATGGGGCCCTTTGCCTCTCCAGAGGGCAGCAAGGACAGTGACACAGGTAGGGTGGAATGGAGAGTGGTTAAAGGTCGTGCTGTGAACAGGATGTGCAGAGCACTGATGCAACGAGCTGGGCTAATTAGGCAATGCTTTGATGTCATTGGAGCTGCTCTTCCTCACCTTAATCAGCTTTCCTCAATTAGGGAATCGTGCCACGAGCAGCAGTGGTTGTTAGTGGGTTCTGCCAGTGTGGCATTGGATCATCCAACAGGAAAAACCCAACGGGTGCCACCTGAAGCTTTTGTCACTGAGATTTGTTCTTACCACCCTGGGAATCGAGTTCCTCCAGCTCTGAAGCTGGAATTGAGGCTCTGGAGAGGCTGGGAGGTTCTCTAATGTCCTCTAACTTGGTTCCTCACCTTTCACATTTATCCTGTGTCCAGGTGTGAAGCAGCCTGGGGAAGCCCCACCTGCCAGTGACTCCATGGATGGCACCCCACGTACACCCAACAACACCTTTGAGTTCCCATCTCCTTTGGAAAACCTGCAGGAGGAGGAGGGAGAGTCTGAGAGGTAACCCTGGCTGCTTGAGGGAGCCTTGAGAGAGAGTCAGGAAAGCTTGGAATGGGTTGGAAAAGATCTTTGTAGAGTGATCTTTGTCAGTGTGACAGTGGCTGCTGAAATTTAGTGCATAAAATGACAGTGACATTGCTTGTGTTAAATATTGTTGGGAGCATTAGGAAACTTTGGTCTGTGTCTCTGCTCTGCTAGAAAACTGTCAGGAGAGGGTGTAGAATACTCTGCTTTGGAGCTCAGACCACCATTCTGAAATCATTCTGGGAGAAATTCAGGCACAAGCTTCCTAATGATTGCTTTCCTTCCTTGCAGGATGGTTGACATGGGAACACCGAAGCCTTTTCGCAAGTGAGTGTGCTTAGAAATGTTTGAACTTGACTGAATTTGTTTGGATTTCAAATGGTTATGAAGCAGAATGCAGCAGTGCTCTTTGTTCTGAGGCAGCCCAGTTGTCTGCATGATCCCTTTTCTTTAAGAACACATGAGATCAGACACTGGCAGCTATTTGTAGGGCAGGTGGCGTGAGTCATATGCAAAAATACCCCTTTGATCTGTGAGTGAAGTGGAATGATTGCTGTATCCACTGATTTGAGTGGATGGGAGTTGGGTTAGGGAGTAGAGAGATCCCTATTTTCCTTTCCAACCTGTGTTGCTGTTGGTTCTGTACCTGCAGATAGACAGAGGCAAGAAACTGTAACCTGCCCTTTTCACTGCCTTGATATCTGACTGCACATGATTTGATCTGTGTCATTAAAAGGAGGGTTATGAAAACACTGTCAGAACAGTGAATCTGTAAAGGGCAAAATTAGAGAATGTGCCCAGAGGTTCAGGCATCCAACAGCCCCCAGCTGGCAGGGACAGTGTATTCATAAAGCTGATTGATGTACTCAGCTTTTCCCTGGAATGGGAATTAACTCGCTCTTTTTCTCCTCCCATCAGGACGGACAGTGTTGGCTTTGCAGATGTGCAGAGTGAGGATGAGCTCTATGACTTCGACATGGACATGGACCCTCCCAACTGGCAGCAGCTTGTGAGCAGGGAGGTGCTGATGGGGCTCAAACCCTACGAAATCAAACGTCAGGAGGTGATAAATGGTGAGATGGAGGTTCTGTCCTACCTGGCCAAGCTCAGAGCTGAAACCTTCCCCGAGAGCTTTGAAGTTCTTAAAAAGTTTACAATTAGGTTTTTCTTTACTGATTTTGTGAAGTAGTGGCTGGAGAGTTGTAGAACTTTTGGTTTGAAGAGTTCTTAGCTGTGAAACCTGTGCTTGTTACTGGGAAATAACCTGAGGTGAGATTGATCCAGTCCTTAGAGGAGAAATAAACAATACCAAGTGATTATTAAATATTAAGGCACTGAAAGGCCAAGTTTTTAATATGTTCTGTAAAAGAAAACAAGAAAAGCTTGGTTTTTTGGGAAGCAGGTGATGGAAATGCTGCTCCCAAACTTCAGCAGGTTTGAGCTGCAGCTCCTGCTTGGATTTGTGAGCTCAGATCTCTTGGTTTGGGGTAAACGATGGAATTTCACAAACAATTCAAACATGGAATTACAGCAGAGCCTGGAATATGAACCAGGGGGGGAATTGCTGCTGAGGGACCTGCCCTGAGGGGCTGCAATCCTGCTTTCCCTGTCTCCCCAGAGCTGTTCTACACGGAGCGAGCCCACGTGCGCACGCTGAAGGTCCTGCACAACGTCTTCTACCAGAGGGTCACCAGGGAGGGCATCCTCAGCTCCAGTGACAAGCGGAAAATCTTCTCCAACCTGGAGGACATCCTTGGGCTGCATGGTAGGAGCAGCTGGATGCTGGAATTTGGGATTCCAGTGGCTGAAAAATTGAAGCAAAGGGACCCTGGAACACGAGGCAGCTTCACCCAACACTTGAGATGGAGCAGAATTCAGGACACTGCCCTGGGCTTGCTTTTGCTCGCACTTGTTCCATTTCTGATTCACAAAGATATTTTGATAAGGAATCATGTGTCCAGTGTTCCTTTTCCTTATCTGTGTTGATTCATGCTTGATAAAAGGAGCAGTGAGCTTTATGGGCCAGGGTTTGAGGTGGTACAACTGTTCCTGAGGAGAGCAGAAAACAGATTTATGAAGATTGATTTTTTTTGTTTCTAAAGGGTTGCACTTCCTCGTTGTTTAGGGAAAGGACTGCTCACAATAGGAATTTCAGCCACTGAATCATCAGCTGTGTGATTTTCTGGCTTCTGCATTATTCCTGTTTATAGAAAAATGATATTGAGCCTCAGAAAAGATGAGTTTGGAATGGTTCTTAGGGGTCCTTTGAAGCCAAGTGAGACACAAGCACAAAGGAGTTACATCACATTTTATTAGATATCCTAAATCTGTTAAGTTGCAGAATATTGTTTATTGGCTAATTAAAATTATATAAAATCTAATCTTCTCCTAGAACAGCTTTTATGTTAAATGCTGAAAGTGAAGCCAGCAATTTGACCACCATTAATAAAATTTGCCTTTTTTCCCTTGTTTTTTAGTTGCACTGAACGATCAGATGAAATCTGTCCGAAAAAGGAACGAGACTTCTGTCATTGGCCAAATTGGGGAAGATTTGCTCTCCTGGGTAAAATTCTTTTAATATTTCTTGTATTTCGAAATAATGTGTCATGGAATGACCAGTAGAGCCAGAGGTTGGAGGAGGTAATTCCCAGCAATGGGAACTGAAGGGCTGCGAGTTCTGGAGCCAAAACAGAGCTGGAGGATGAGGGGGGAAGGAAAGCAGGAAGAACTCAGAGGATTTTCATCTGACTGGAGATGAGAGTCATTTAAGGCACAAGAATAATATCCTTAAGATGTGTGGGTAGAATAGAAAGGTACTTTGAGTACATAAAGGTGAGAGTGGGATTTTGAAAAATGTAGTGGCACGATTTATTTTGGTAACATTGAAGTGTGAGCCTGGTGTTGCCTGCGGTGCAGTTAAAAGGTGGTTAGAAATACTGATTTCTAATCTTAGAATGTATAAATTTGGAGTTTATAGTGCTGCTGCAGGCTTTGCTTTTGAGATCTTCATGGAGAGATTTGGCTGCCCCATCCCTGGAAGTGTTCAAGGATGTTTTGGGGTAGTGGAAAGTGTCCCTGCCCATGATGGGGATGAGCTTTCAAATCCCTTTCAACCCAAACCAGTCTGGGATTCTGTGATGTGGGAGGGCTGCATTCAGGAGAACTGAAGAGTTTGAGATGTAAAGGTCTCCTCTGGGAAGACAAAGCCTTAAACCAGGGCAGAAATGCCTCCTCATTTTTGTCAATAACTCCTTTCTTCCCTGGTGATCCCAGTTCCATGTAGCTCTGCCTGCTGAGGGTGCCTCGTGCTGAGCTCCAGCCTGTCTAAACTTGGCTTTTTTGGCTTTCTGGCACAGTTTAGTGGACCAGCAGAGGAGAAGCTGAAACTTGCCACTGCCACCTTCTGCAGCAACCAGCCCTTTGCCCTTGAGGTCATCAAGTCCCGCCAGAAGAAGGACTCGCGCTTCCAGACCTTCGTGCAGGTGGGTTTGCCTCAGGGCTTGGAGTTTTCTCTGCCAGGCTTTGAATTTTCTCCTCCAGGCCTTAAGTTTTTCACCAGGCTTTGAGTTTTCTCCTCCAGGCCTTGGGTTTTTCACTGAACTCTTGAGTTTTTTCCCCTAAGCTCTCAGTTTCTCCACCAGGCTTTTGAGTTTTCTCCACTGGGCTTGTGAGCTTCTCCTTTAGGTTTTGAGGTTTCTCCACCAGGCTTTTGTGTTTCTCCACCAGGCTTTTGTGTTTCTCCACCAGGCTTTTGAGGTTTTTCCCCCTAAGCTCTGAGATTTTTCCCCTAAGCTCTCAGTTTCTCCACCAGGCTTTGGAGTTTTCTCTACCAGCCTTTGGAGTTTTCACCACCAGGCTTTTTCAGCACAGCCCAATGAATCCTCCTAGATAAAGTTCTGATAATTAATGACATTAATTAATGACGTCATGGCTAAGGCTGCCTTCAGCTGGGGACATGTCCAGCACTGTATTTATCTCTCCTGATGGTTTCTGGAGGGAGGAGCCTTCAGTTCTGGGGAGCACTGAGTGTCCTGATGGAATGCAGGGCAGCACAGTGTCCCAGGCAGGAGTGTCCCATCTCCCTCAAGGATGCCAAATTTTGTGGGGAAGAGTGCTCAGAGTGCCAGGAGCAGGAGACAGATGCTGCACAGCTGCTCTGCCTGCCAGGAGTGGGCTTTGGGTCCACGTGGCATTTGCAGGAGAGCATCATCTCCATCAGCACAGGCTGGGAGGAGCTCTGGGAGTGCAGGGGGAGATCATCTTGACAAATATCCTGTGTTTTGCTGCGGTGTGAAGGCCCAAACTGATGTGTTCCCTGGGAGCTGCTGACTGAGATGGATTGGGGATGGGCCCATGCCCATGGGGAGTAATGAGGGGAGGAAGGCACTGCTGCTGTGATGAGCTTTTCCTCCGGGTAATTGCAGATGGAGAGGGGATGTGTTGTCTGGGTGATAGATCTTGGCATCTCTTGTCTTGTATTTAATTACTGGAAAGTGAAGTAATAGATGTTTAAGTGATGAATAGATGTTGTGCATTCAGGTAATTATGGCCTTAATAAAAAATGACAAATGCAGATATTGTGCTGTTGAAATTTAGGATGCTGAGAGCAATCCCCTGTGCCGGCGGCTGCAGCTGAAGGATATCATCCCCACGGAGATGCAGAGGTTGACTAAATACCCCCTTCTGCTGGATAACATTGCTAAATACACAGGTAAAGCCTTGCCACTGGGATTTGGGCACCCATCTCAGCAGGTTTTTTAGGTAAATGTGTTAAATAACACTTCAGTTTTATGTGTCTCTGTTTTCATTGCGACCTCACTGCTGCTGTCTGCACAGGAGGTGTAAAAAATAGTAATAAAAAGAAAAATCCAGTGTTGGTGCCTCTTCCTTAGGAAAATAAAAAGGAAATTCAGTGTGAAATAAGTGAATCTATCAAACCTCTAAAGCAGCACAGAACGTCCTCGTGCTCTTGCAGAGGGTGGGGTTTAATTAGGATGTGTTACACTGAAAGATACTTCCAGCACAACAGGTAAAATGTGATAAATAATAGCACAAAATGCCTTCCCAGCTTTACTATCTGATACCTGCTGCAGGGTAATTTCATTACTCATAAAAATAGACTGCAGCTACTAGTTCCCTCTAATCCTAATTAGGAAAGCATGTGATACTCCATTATCTTTGATGTACTGGTTGATGTTCCTGTTAAGTGAATTCTCTGTGTGGCTGCTGGTGAGAATTGATGGGTTCACCTGTGCCTGTACTCTTAGTAAGGATTTTAGTAGGGATTTTAGGTTTCCCACATTATTATGAGTTGTCACAAGGCCCTAAAAAAGGGAGAGTAACAACTGCATTGTGTGTAATGATGTGCAGGTCACAATCAATTCTCTGCTGTCACAAATCTCATTTTTATCACTGTTGCTTTGTTTTTGTTGATGACTTCTCTGTGAGTTTAACTCCTCTTTGTCCAGTTTGAGGTCAGCACACTGCACTGCAGGGCTGCCTGCCCAAACCTTTGCTGGAAGCACTGTCCCACTCTGTGTTCTTCTTGCAGAGCTGCCTGAGGAGAAGGAGAAAGTCAAGAAAGCAGCAGATCACTGCCGCCAGATCCTCAACCACGTGAACCAGGCTGTCAAAGAGTCAGAGAACAAGCAGGTGGGAGGCCCAGAGTGAACCCCCAGGGCTGGGCACAGCAGTAAAGCTGCACTCTGGGCAGTTTTGCTGCTCCAAGTGACCATTTCCTTGCATTTCCTGCAGCACCTGGAGGATTATCAGCGGCGACTCGACCTCTCCTACTTGAAGCAGTCAGAGGATCCCATGATGGATGAGTTCAGGGTGAGTGGGAGCATTAAAACCGGCCCTGGGTGAGTGGAGTTTACAGCCCTGACGTTCACTTTGTGCTTCTTGTGGTGCACAAATAAGTGGTCTTTGGAGATAAATATTTCTGTATGAAAATGAAAACAATTTATCTCAGAAATGTGAGTTTTGCTACCTTCCTGAAGATTTCTGTGGCTCTAACAGCTCAGTTGTGCACATCATGGTGCTGATGAAGCTTGTCAGCTCTGTGCAACAAACCTTTATGGCCTACAAGCTCAAGCACTGTATCCCAGAAGAGATATATCTGGTGGATAATGAGATTATTGTGGGTATTTATCTCATGTGAGTGCATGTCTTAGTGATGCTGTTGGAACTGGGGAGACCTTGGAGAGCCCTGAGGTGTAACAGTGGAGTTGGCTTTAAAAGGAGAGCATGTACAAAAACATGGGAGATCTACACAGCCAAATAAAACCTGAAGTCAGTATTAAAAATACTCTGTTCCATGGCTCCTGTAAATCCCTGCAGTTCTGTTGGAAGCTGGTTACCTGCTGGTTGCTTCCCCATCTCCCTCAAAGTCAGTGTGAATCAAAAAACCCCAACTTTTCTATAAAACTGTGTCATGTATCCTTCCCCAAATAAACTTGCAAGCATTCAGCAGGGGAAGGAAGAACTTCTGGCAGCTACGAAATCTCGCTGTCATTGATTGCAGACTCTGAGACTTGGAAGGGATGAATTGTGAAAATTGTCACTTCTGCTTGCCTGCAGATCTAAATGTCACAAGCACTGAAGTGCCTGAAGAATCCATTGACATTACAAAGCCTGTCAGATCATTGGGATGATTTGTAAATAATTTGTAGGCACACTTGACTTGCAAATCGAGTGCTGCAGCATTAATCAGTTGTAATGCTAGAGATGAATATGGGGGATTGGAAAAACTCCTCCTAGGAAACAGGTGACATCCTCATGCCCCAGGAGCTTGACTTGGAGGGAGAATTCTCCACTCTGTGGCACTTGGCGTGTGGAAAAGAGCAGTGGAAGAGGAGAAGTGATAAACAGCATCTCTGACAAGATTTTGGGTTCCCTGCTCCATGTTTCTTTTCCCAGCCTGGGTTCAGTTGCTTAGCTCCAAACTGGAGTCCCTCTGGCATTCCTGTGTTTTATCATGACTTGCTTCCATGGAAATTTCATTTTTTTTCTTTCCCCTGGTGACAGAACCTGGATCTAACAAAGAGAAAGATGCTCCATGAAGGGCCCTTGACCTGGAAGGTGAATCGTGACAAAACCATCGGTGAGTCTGGGCCATCCCCCATCCCCTGGCTCTGGGTGAGTCTGCTGGGAAGGAGAGGAGGGAAAAGCTCTGCTGCAGCTCCCAATTATACTTCTTACTGCCACCTCTGATAATGCCTGTGTGCTTCTCTGAGCTGATTAAATTATTCTTGTCAATTGTGAAATGTGCTGGAGTATCATTAGGGCCACGCAGGGACACAGCAGTCAGTCATGAGCTGATCCAGTTCCATCTGTAGCTTTCTGCTGGAGTTTTCACCAGGAAGATTTGCAAGCTTTGCCTGGAATGGCACAGCACTGATTGCTGCCTCTGCATGAGTAATCAGAAATGCAGCTTTCTGCTTCCTGATGGGAATGTTTTTAACTCGTTCTGGGCTTTTTTGGCATTCTGGGCAGATCTGTACACTCTGCTGCTGGAGGACATCCTGGTGCTGCTGCAGAAACAAGATGACAAACTGGTGCTGAAGTGCCACAGCAAGATCCTGGCATCCACAGCTGACAGCAAACACACCTTCAGCCCCATCATCAAACTCAACACTGTGCTGGTTCGCCAGGTGGCCACAGGTCAGTGCAGCCCACTGAGAAAGCAAAAAGAGAAGCCAAAAATAAAGATTAGCTCAGTTGAGGAAGATGATTTTGTGTAGATTTTCAGAGCAGAACATGGAAAACTGCGTAGGCTTAATTCTTGGTTGTCCAACATCGTGCTTAGTATGGATGAGCTGTTTAACTTCTTTGCATCAGTAATAGGCATTTGCTTGAGTTTTAAATAGACTTCTAAATGAAAGTACTCTGATTGTGTTAGAGGAAAAGCACTCTGGAAATTATTAGAAGGGAAAAGAGGAGAAATGGAACTTTTGCAAAATGGGTTTTTTCCTTTGAGGGCACATTTCTTTGATAGGACAAGGTCAGTGTTTCTGTATTAGTGTTGGAAAGTTATCTCCTGGACGTTTTCCTTGCTTTGTGCTGGGGTTTTGTAGGAATTTTTGGGAAGCTGTTTCAGTTCCCTTCCCTGTGTTGGTGCAGATAACAAAGCTTTCTTCGTCATCTCCATGTCGGCGACGGGGGCTCACATCTACGAGCTGGTGGCACAGACTGTCTCAGAGAAGAATGTGTAAGTCCTGGGCTCAATCCAGCTGCTGCTGGCTTTGCTGGACCTGAGAGACCTTTTACCCCATGAATTCCCTGAGTTCCTTCTCTAAATTCAGCTGGAAATCTTGTGGTCTCTGTAAGAAGCACCCACGGATAGTCCCTCCCAGCTGGCTCACTCCACACCCCTTCCTGACCTCCAAAATATTTTTATTTACCCTTAAAAATCTGGTTTTTTGAGGTCTGACTGCCAGATCAGACGCAGAAATAATCCTGCATCTTCATGCAGCACCAGAGATCTTTGCAGATTTACATTCTGGCATCATAAACACCCCACTGCAGGAATTGGATTCCGTGGCTAAAAGCTTCATGGGGAGGAACTCTTTTCTCCTAAGGAATACCCAGGGATAGATGTGTTTATGGGATAGATACCTGTTGCTACATCTATACACTCCAGTGATGTGGGAAATAATGCTTTTTCATGTATTTATATACCAATTAACTGGTTGATCTGACAAGTGATAAGGTCCTGTCTGTCATTTCTATCTGCTGAAGAGCATCTAGGTGAGCTGAGCTTTCTGCTGTGGTGATTTCAGGGTGTTCCTAGGGGGGCTGAATGTAACAGAACTTGAAAAAAAATTACATTTCTTTTTGGTAAAAAATAGCAGTAATAATATCAGCTGGGTTTAAGAGGATTAAATAGAGAAATGCTCATTGTGTTTCACTTGCTGCATGGTTTTATTTGCTGTTTCTGCTGCAGCTGGCAGGACCTTATAGCTCAGATGGCAGGAACTGTGAAGATGGGGAGCAGCAGAAGGGTGATCCCACTGCCTCAGTCAGGCCCTGGCGAGTAAGTCAAAGCTGCAGGAGGAAGAAAAGCTGATTTTTCTTTCTCCAGCACCCCTTTTCCTGCTTACAAATTGCCCTCCAAAGCATTCTCCTGCAGATGAACCTGACTCAAAGGATGTGTTTGTTCCCTCCCTGCAGAGAGGAGCGTGAGGAAGAGGAGCAGCAGAAGCTGAAAGAGCAGCATGACATTCCTGCCAGCAGCCTGCAAAGTCCAGGTAAAGCAGGGATTCAGGGAGTGGAGCAGGAGATTTGCTCCACAGAGTGCAGATGTGCCCAGCCATAGTCCTGGGGGATTGGGGATCCTAGGGGCAGCTTGGAGATTTTTCTGGAAAGGGATGATTTCTTTACAAGTCATTCAGAGAAGTGATGCTGAACCTCTTGGAAATGCACCTTTTACTATTCCCATCTGATTTGTAAGCTGCTGGAGAGTCTTTTTTAACCCTGGAAAGAGCTGGCCTTATAGCAAAGCCATACTGAAGAATCTTAGTGTTTCCAGAGTGGAATTTTCTGCAGTTTTATCACCATTGTTTCACCTGAATTTTTTTTCTTTGGTCTTCTAGATAAAGATTTGGGCCTGGAGTCTCCCTTAATACTGAACCCTCAGTCCTCTTCACCCATCATGTCTGAGAAGGCCAAGGTGGAAGGGCTGCTGGGGGCTGAGGGGCAGTTTGAGAAGGTGCAGCAGGCAGAGCTGGCACTGAAGGACTCCTCTGCCTGCTTTGAACACCCAGCCAGCAGCTCAGCCTCAATGCCAGAGGGGCAGTGGGCACGGGATGCCCTGAGGAACTGTGAGTACCACCCTGGGCTGGGCTTTGGAGGTGGAATTTGGCCAAACAGCCCATTTCCATTCATTATCCATCCCCATGGCTGGATGTGACAGCAAGGAGTTCTGAATGCATGCACTGCACCTCCCTGGGCTTTAAGCATCTCCTGGTTTTTCTGAGGTTTTCTCTGTCAAATGAGGGTGATCATGAATTTCTACCATCCATGGAGTGCTTTGATGGCAAAATTATATTGCAGAACCTAGTGCACAGTGCCATTGCTGGTCAGCAGTTTTTAAAGACTAGGCAGTCAGCCCTGGCTTATTTCTGTAGCACTGGAGCAGAACTGGAGAGGTTGCTTGTGTTGCAGAATGCAATTTTCCTTTTTTTTTTTTTTCTGTAAAATCCTGCAAACTGTTATGCTCACTTATATCCAAAGTACTCAGATTTCTGAGTACTTGGGAGGTGTTTGGGTCTAATTGGATCAGCATTTGTGTGTGTTGAGAAGTCTTCCTGATGGACAAATCATTGTTTGAAATTGTTTTTAAGGTTTTTAATCACTTCCTCTGCTCTCAGAGGAAGAATGCAGGGCCCTGCAACCTGCTGGATCAGCTCTGGCAGTGCAACTCCTAAATATAACTCCCTAAAATTTGAATGAATTCATTAATCCACAGACCTGTCCTTGGCAGCTCTGGAAGGGACACAAAGTCCCTCAGTTGTACTTGGAGGGAAGAGTCTGTGGAATATTTGCTTTTACCAAAATGCAGAACTCTTACATCCTTGGCCCCAATTGCCTTTTCCATCTCTCTCTCCAAGCAATGACAGTTCTCTGCAGTCTCAGAGTTATCTCAGACCTTTAATTCCATTTATTCTCCTTCTTAGAGGATTTAAAGTTCTTTTCTAGTTCTGAATATTGGACAGATATTCTTGGTACTTGTTTTAAGAGACCACAGCTAAAATAATCTTAGTCTGGGGGTGTGTAAGGACACTTGCAGTGACCCTACAGCATCTCCTGAGTGTTGAGAGTTAAAAGAGCAGCTCTCCAACATTGTGACAAGAGCCTGAGCTGAGTGACAGTTCTGCTGTGTGACATCACTGCTTTTTTTGGGTGCTGCAGGAGCATTTTGTGGTGAGGAGGAACAATCTGGGGCTCTTGACAGCAGCACGTTTTTGTTTGGAACAATATGTCCCTATTATGAAGTGTTTGGTTGGGATAATTTGGGAACTAAAGGAATGTGGGTTGAAGTTCAACCAGGCATAAATTTGCATTGAATTTTAGGGAAAATGTTTCTTAGATTTTTTTTTTCCTTTTTTTTTTTTTTTTGCTGACATTTCAAACCTGAGTGGAATATTCCCAGTTTCCTTGAGGTGGGAATCCCCTGCTATAACCACAGCTGTGAGCTCCTGTGCAGGGTGAAACCCAGGCACTCAGGATAATTTATTTTACAATTTTCTTGGAGACAATTTCTTTGGTTTTCTCCAAGGAGATGCAACTTGTAACATATTGTAAGGTAAAACAGGAGAATGAGGCTGCAGCCTTTAATACATTTATTTTTATCCCTGTTTTTCCAACCAAGAGCAAGGAGTCACACCTCTGTCAAAGGCTGACCTTTGTGTCTGCTTTAATCCCTTCTGTGCTCCGTGAGCGTTGCCTGCATTTGTCAGGTGCCATTAATGCAAGAGCAGGATTTCCAGACATTATGGTAGAAACAGATTTTGGGCAAGCAGGAAGGGAGCTGATGAGCTCACAGAATATCCTGAGCTGGAGAGGAGCCAGAAGGAATTTTAGGGAAAATGCTTCTTCGCTTTTTTCCTATTTTTATTTTTTTTTTTTGGCTGTCATTTCAAACCTGAGCGGAATATTCCCAATTTCCTTGAGGTGGGAATCCCCTGCTATAACCACAGCTGTGAGCTCCTTTGCAGGGTCAAAGTTTGATCATTTTGTCACTTTGAGTCCAAATTCTGTCCATCTCATCTGACCCTTGCCTGTCCTTGCAGTGGGGCTGCTGAAGCAGCTCTTGGTGCAGCAGCTGGGCCTGGCAGAGAAGGGCACCCTGGAGGACAGACAGCGCTTGCCCAGGTTCAGGAGCGTGTCCCAAGAAGCCCAGACAGAGAGTGGCAACGAGCTGCAGCCCTCTGAGAGCAAATTCCAGCAGCCTGGAGAGGACAGAGCCCTTGGCAGAACTGGAGAGGCCGCGGGCGGGCACGGCGCCCGGACTGCAGCCGAGTGCCCGGCCTCAGGGGATGCCATGCAGCTGGTGGGCACGGAGCCCCCCGCCAGGGGCACTTTGCCCATGGACAGCATGAACCTGGAGGGCTCCAGCTCGGAGCTGGAGGGGCTGGGGGCTGAGGAGAGCGGGGAGCATTTCTTCGATGCCCGGGAAGCTCACAGCGACGAGAACCCCGGCGAGAGCGAGCTGCTGGACAGGAAGGAGGAAGAGGAGGAGGAGGAGGAGGAAGAGGAGGAGGAGGAGGTGCAAATTCGGATCTCAGGTGAGCCTGGGGCACTCCTTCAGGGGGTGATGGCCTGGCCAGGTCCTTTAACACTTCACCTTTTGCTTGTCTGGGTGGGACAAGAGCTGCCAGCTCTCACCAGGTCATTTTAGCCCTGTGCAAACACGGACCTGGTTCATTCTTCCTGTGCTGGAGGAGAAGCTGAAGAGCTGGGGACACACCCTGTGACAAACGGGAATTGCAGAGGCACCAGGCACAGGCCAAGCCCTCAGTTCTGGCCTGGACCACTTCTTCTCTCTGCTGCCTAAAGGGAAAAGGTTTTCCCTGGAGGCAAAGCACTTTTTAAAGCCCTGTTCCTGATCAAGTTTCAGGAAAGAAACTCACTTTAATTTTGCACTGTAATAGTCTCCTGTAACCTTACCACACTCTGAACCTCCGAAAAGTTTATTATTTTATTATTGTTATTGTTATTGCTGCTCATGGACTATTTGACAGCTTCCTGAGCACACCAAACTCAGCACAGAAGCTGAGGTTTATCTCATGTGCATTTTCTACTAGAAGCAGCTGCTATCAGGTGGGTTCAACACTAACAGCCACACAGAAGTCTCTTATCCATAAATATGCTCTTATTTAAAAATTGGATTATATCCACATGGATAAGCCAATTTATGACTGCCCCAATGCTGCTTTCCAACTACACAGTGCAAATAACTTTTCTCACTGAGACATTTTAAATTATTAAAACTGAGCCAACAACTTGAAGCATCTAATTTATTTGTCACCTCTTCCACTGTTTACTTTTTTAACTGTATGGGGACATCAAAATGAGATTGATCTGGTTTTAGTCAATTCTGAGTCCCCTGTGCTGGCTTTGCCTGTGCTATTATGGAGAAATTCATTAAATGGACTCCTGTTTCTGGGTGCAGGTTGTGAAAACATTTTCTGTCTGTAGTTACTTTATCTTTTAGCATATCAGCAAGCTCTGCTTTAAACCTCACCCATCTAAAAGCATCCTAAGTGCCAGGGCTGGGGAGTGGAGTTTGGGGATCCAGCAGCTACATTTGTCAGGTGCCATGAGTGCAAGAGTAGGATTTTCAGATAATATCATAGAAACAGAGATTTTGGGCAAGCAGGGAGGATGAGCTCACAGAATATCCTGAGCTGGACAGGAGCCAGAAGGATCATTGAGTCCAGGTGCTGTCCATTTAATTATGGGTTTTTTTAAATGTACAGTATAAAAACCATCCCTGGTCTCTGGACCTGTTCAGAGCCACCTGAGTCTGACAGCACCACTAATCTTTGGAGTGTTCCCAAATGGTTTTTCTCAGGAGATGGGCTGTGGGACACCCCCACTAAAAATCTGCTCAAACCCCCCTAAGCCCTGAAGCTTCTTGGAGCTAGTTGAGTCAAACCCCATTGTCTCTGCAGCGAATTATTTGATTTTTCTCAGGAGATGGGCTGTGGGACATCCCCACTAAAAATCTCCTCAGACCTCCCTGAGCCCTGAAACTTTTTGGGGACGGTTGAGTCAAACCCTGTTGTCTCTGCAGGAAATGATTTGATTTTTCTCAGGAGATGGGCTGTGGGATTTCTTTTCTCAGGAGATGGGCTGTGGGATTTCTTTTCTCAGGGGATGGGCTGTGGGATTTCTTTTCTCAGGAGATGGGCTGTGGGACTTCTTTTCTCAGCAGATGGGCTGTGGGACATCCCCTCTTCTGTCTGTTAAAATCTGCTCCAACCCCCCTGAGCCCTGAAGCTCCAATCTCCGTTGTCCCCGCAGGAAATTATTTGATCCTTGATGGATACGGAACAGTGCAGGAGAGCTCCACGGACGAGGAGGTGTCAGCCCTGGTCCTGCAGTGCACCTCCCACAGGCAGCCCGCCCTGGACTGTCCCCAGCAGCAGCAGCAGTGTCCCCTGTCCCCAAGGGACACCCAGTCGGACGGGGGCAGCTCGCCCTTCCCCGAGGAGCTGCGCTGGGCAGGGCTGGAGGAGCCCTGTCCCTTCCTGGGCAGCCCCCAGCTCCCTCTGGAGATCCGAGTGCAGCTCATGCAGTACATCCACAACATCCAGGATGCCCTGGAGAAGCTAAAGGTGCGTTGCTTTTTGTTCTTTTTTATTATTATTATTATTATTATTATTATTATTATTATTGCACGTAGAATGTTTGATGGTCACCTGAGCGTTTGATCGTTTCCATACCCGTTCATTTTGGGGTTAGAAAAAAGCTTTAAAACTATTTTGATGAGCAAGGACACAGCCAGATTTCTCTTCATCTCTGGCTCTTACTCCTGGAAGGCTGTTGTATTTGCAGGGATCCCCGTGGCAGGGAGGAATGATGAATCTGACTCCTTGTTCTCAGAAGGCTAATTTATTATTTTATGATACTATATTATACTAAAGAATACTAAACTGTACTATATTAAAGAATACAGCAAGAATACTTACAGAAAGCTGAAAAGATAATAATGAAAACTCGTGACTTTTTCCAGAGTCTTGATACAGCTTGGCCCTGATTGGCCAAAGAGTGACTGAAAACAATTCACACCAGAAATCCAATGAAACAATCACCTGTGGGTAAACAACCTCCAAACACATTCCACATGAGCAAAGCACAGGAGAAGCAAATGAGATAAAAATTGTTTTCCTTGTCTCTGAGGCTTCTCAGCTTCCCTGGAGAAAAATCCTGGGTGAAGGGATTTTTCCAGAGAATGGGAATGCTACAGAAGACTTTAGACCAGAATCTTTTGCTTTTTTTGCTGTTGTGTGGGCATTGAGTTGTGGATCACAACAGGCCAATAGTTCTGGAGCTGGAGGACTCTTTGTTGCTTTGATTTTGATCTGGAGACATTTCTGAAGGATAGGAAGCATGCAAAAGTGGAGTTTTCAACAGGACACTGGCCTGAGGAATGTGAATTCCTGGCACAAAGATTAGGGAGAGGTTCTTCAGAGAGAGGTGGGAAGGGCTGGAGTCCCCATCCCTGCAGGTGTTCAGGGACACACTGCATGTGGCACTCGGTGACAGGGTGGTCTTAGGGCATGGGTGGGACTCAGACATCTCAAAGGTCTTTTCCAGCCTTGGTAATTCTGTGAAATCTCTCGTGTGCTGCTGCTCATGGGGTCAGAGGAAGATTCTGAGTTGCACTGAGGATATCAGATCAATATTGAGGTTTTCAGGCTCTATATATTCCAAATTATTTTTGCATGGGACAGGGATTCTCTTTATAGAATAACTGCAGAAGATTTGATGTGTGAAACGTCCAGCAGCCAGCCTTTAATTTCACTGAAATCAGAATATTGCATGCAAATGAAGCTGCTGATGAAGGAGTTGAGGGGGCTCACTCTAACCTGGGTGTTTGCAGTAGTGAAACTTCTCTTTTCCTGTTTGAAGCCCTCTTTGTTTGCTTGGTAAATGGAGAGGCAGCTGAGTTTTGGGGCTGTTGTTGCTGTTTTGCAGGAGGTGGAGGAGGATTACAGCGTTCTGCGGCGCCAGGGGCTGGCTGGCTCAGCCTCCACAGGAGAGCACTCAGGTAGGAGCCCAGAATCAAACCACAGCACAAAGTCCAGGGTTTGGGCTACCCAAAAACAGGGGCCAGGCAGAGTTAAGGGAATAAAAAGCAGATCTGTTTATTGAAGAGCCTCCAGGTACATTTAGGGCACATGAAGCCCATCCAAAATGGAGAATTGGTCACAGGTTTCACACTTTTATAAGTTTGGTTCATTTGCATTTTGGGGGTCAATCTTCCAATTCCAGCTTCAGCCAATGAAGTCATTGACCCCAAGTTTGCTGCCCCCAACTCCCTTTTGTTTCCATCTCTCAGGCCTGAGGCAGTGAGGTGTCCTTGATTGCCAGGCCTGCAGAGGAATTGTTGTGTCTGCCCCAAATGGGGAAGCAGCAGCTCCCACTGTGTGTGGAGTTTGGAGTTCTGCACTGAAGAACTGCAGGGTTACAAAGAGATGGAAAATATGAAATCCTGAGCTATCAGAGGTGCAACTGGTCTTTCTCACATGCCCAGAAAAGGTTTCACCTCCTGGAGCAGCCCTGGCAGTGCTGCCTGCAGGAAAGGTCAGCTCCATCCCTGGAGGCTCAGCTGAGCTGGTTCCTGTTCTGGAAGGTTCTGTTCCAGCTGCCCCACACCTCCATCCCAGGGTGAACTCCTCCAGGCAGGCCAGAGGGGTGGGAATCCCACAGGGAGCTTCCTGGAATGCTGAGCCTGGGGGAAATTGGGTGGAATTGCTGAGCTCCTGGCCCAGGGTTGGGGTGAGATGGGTGAGGAGCTCTCAGTGAGCAGCCCTGCCTGTGGCAGTGCCCAGAAATGCCACTCACTCCTCTCCCAGGCCGTCCCTCTCAATCCTGGGGGGATGAGTTCAGGTGGCAGGAGAGGGAGCAGAGGGGATTTTGCTGTCCTGCTTGGCACAGGGTGGCTCAAGTGTCCCCAGTGTCACTGGGCTGCTGCTCCTGCCAGGTCTGTGAGGAACAAACCCTCCTCCCTTTAAGGGAGCCAAACTGAGCATCCTGCACATCCCATGGGCACTCAGACCTCTGCTCAGAATCCTCTTGACCAATTTTTTTTTCCCCTTTTCAGACAAAAGCTAGTCGTGTTTCCAGGAGTGGCTGAAGATGGGATGAAGAGAATCAGGACACAGCACCCGCTGTCTCCCCTGTGGACTCTGGGATGAGGGTTTGGAGCATCCAAACAGGAACCATTCTCTAGCAAAGTGGGCATGGGGTGCTTTTCCTGTGGGGCATCTGCACTATCTTGTCAGTGAGGGAGTCTATTCTATTCTGCTCCTCTCCTTGCTACCAGAAATTCAATTTTTTTTTTTTTCAGAACAGGAAAAAAAAAAAACCAAACCAAATGTACAGAGCTTTGGGTGTAGGATATAAAAAAATGTATTTAGACATTTAAAAGAAAAAAAAAAAAATCAATGTATTTATTTGACTTCATTCCGTGTATCAAAAGCACATTTTAATTTTTTAATCTGCCTTTTTTTTTTTTTTTGTTCTATTTTTGGGTAGTGACAGTTCTGGCCCACCCTGCCTGGTGAGGGGACAGGGGGGACCTGTGTGCAGGTGTTTCCTCACTGGACTGGACTCTGCACTCCCTGCTGGCACTCAGACTACCAAGAGCTACTCATGAAGGGTTAGGATGGAATTTATGGCTGGAATTGGTCTGTATCCAACCAGCTGCATGGGAATTGCTCATGTCACCACGTGTGGAACAGGAATTTTCCATGCACTAAACAGCCAGGCACTTGAGATGGGCAAATTTTCCTTTTCCCCTTTCCCATTCCTTTGCTGGGAGAGGAGAAAGAGGTTTAATTTTGGTTTTTTCTTCTTGACTTTGTTGGCTTTGATCATTGTCTCTTTGTAAAGTGATAAAAAAAAAAATACTTGGACCTGCAGCACTTTTGTAACTCTTCTCTGGATCAAAAAAAAAAAAGAAAAAGAAAAGAAAAAAAAAGAAAAAAATGCAAACCCAGAAGTGTTTCAAAGATGTGGGGCAGCTGTGCCCCTGATTCACTACTGAATGAAAAAGGGCTGCCATGGAGTTAGCCACAGGTACTGCTGATTTTAGGGCCAGTAAGTTTTAGTACCTGGAGTATGTCTTGCTGAGGGCTCGGGGTGGCTTTGGGGTTTTTTTTTTTTTTTTTTTTTTTTTTTTGGGGTGGGGTTGGTTTTTGTTGAATTTTGCTTTTGTTTTTGGAACTCGTTTGTGCCAATGCGAGGGACATGGGTGACCTGAGGAGGCTGAGGCAGCTCTTGGGCACTTCCTCAGGCCTGTCCTGGAATTTGCAGCTGGGATTCCTGCCAGGCTGGGAATTAGGGTGGCCCTGGGCCCATTGCCATTCATTTTCCATCCCCCCCGTGCTGGATTTCACACAGGAGGGCTCTGACAGCAAGGAGTTCTGGATCCCTGCACTGCCCTTGCCTGGCCTTTAGGCATCTCCTGCTTTTTCTGTTTTTTTCTATCAAATGAGGGTGAAAATGAATTTTTACTGTCCTGCTTGGCACAGGGTGGTTCAAGTGCCACCAGTGGCACTGGGCTGGCTGCTCCTGCCAGGTCTGTGAGGAACAAACCCTCCTCCCAAGGTTTAAGCTCTTCAAGGGAGCCAAACTGAGCATCCTGCACATGCCATGGACACTCAGACCTCTGCTCAGCACCAGGATCCTCCTGCTCCTCTAAACCATCATTTTTTTGTTTTCCTTTTGGCTGCTGGCAAGAAATCCCCTCTGTCCCTTGTCAGAGAAATCCCAGCTCTTGTTCTTCCCTCAGAATCCTGGGGGGCTGAGTTCAGGTGGCAGGAGAGGGAGCAGAGGGGATTTTGCTGTCCTGCTTGGCACAGGGTGGCTCAAGTGTCCCCAGTGTCACTGGGCTGCTGCTCCTGCCAGGTCTGTGAGGAACAAACCCTCCTCCCTTTAAGGGAGCCAAACTGAGCATCCTGCACATCCCATGGGCACTCAGACCTTTGCTCAGAATCCTCTTGACCAATTTTTTTTTCCCTTTGGCTGCTGGCAAGAAATCCCCTCTGTCCCTTGTCAGAGAAATCCCAGCTCTTGTTCTTCCCTCAGAATCCTGGGGGGCTGAGTTCAGGTGGCAGGAGAGGGAGCAGAGGGGATTTTGGTGTTGGAGCCAGGAGCCCTTGGAGGGTTGTTTTTCCTGTTTGTTTTTCCTGTTGTTTTCAGAGCATCACCACTGCCAGCAGCAGCCAAAGCCTCCTGCAGGTTGCCAGGAGCTCCCTGGTTTTTTGGGATGCACCAAAGCCTGTCCTGTTGTGTGGGATTATTGTCAGTATTAACCCAGCACTCCCTTCCTCACCTCAGCCCCACATTTCCCCGGGTTATAAACATCCAAAATTCCTCCAGAACCCCCCAGCCTGGAATGCTGCCAGGAAGAGAACTGGAAAAAGCCCAGACTGGGGTTGGACCCTTTTCCCTCTCACACTCCAAACCCAGGAGCAGTTGTTGTGACCTCAGTGACCTAAAGGGTTCCCAGAGGCTTCCGTGGAGCTCAGTCTGGCTTTGGAAGAATGTTCTGGAAGAGCAGCAGAGGTGGGGCCTGGGGAGGCCTGGGTGGTTCCTGCTCTTTGCTGGTGGTTGAACACAAATTCAGGGTCTGTGGTGGTCCCTGGTGTCACCCCTGGGGGCTGTGGCAGCAGTGAAAACTGGGAGTGCAGCGGGGTTGTCAGTTCACTTTTTTGCCTGCTGGGCTGGCTTTTACCCCCAAAACAGCTGTGTCCCTGTCACTCTCAGGGCGGATAAGGGACAATCCCCCCCTCAGTGCCAGGCTGGCAGAGGAGCCATCAGGGCTTGGCAGAGATTTGGGAATGCTGGAGGATCCCAGACATCTCTGGGTGACAGAAACCCCACTCTGCTGGCTGTGCTTCCAGCCCTGGGTCACCTCACTGCCAGGGAGGATGCTGGGTCAGGGATCCCTTCACTGGAGGGACAGGCAATTCCTTTCTCCAGGGATTCCTTTCTCCAGGAATTCCTTTCTCCAGGGAATTCCTTTCTCCAGGAATTCCTTTTCCCTCCCCAGCACGCCTGCAGCACCACAGACCTCGGGCTGGAGCTCAAATGCACTATTCAGGATTCCCACAGTTTTTTCCTCCTTTAAGCCATAAGATTTCCCCTTATTTTAAAATGAATTTATCATTTTAATTTGCCCCTGGTTGGTTGGGCATTCCCTTATCCAAACAGTTCTCTGGAGTTTTTTGTCCCAGCCCCTCGTCACAAAAATATTTTTTTTTTCCCCCCTTCCCCAAACAGAACAAGGATTTTTTGTTTTGGGAACAAGGATGGGATGTAAGAACATCATCTGAGAGGTCATTTCCCTTCTGCTGTCACCCAGCTCATGGACAAGCCAAAAGCTGAAGATGGAATTTTCTGGAATGGGAATTCCCTTGTCCTGCAGAAGATCCCTGCTGGGTGGGGAGGGGGCTCAGAGGATGAGGAGTGCAAACCTCAGGAGCTCTCAGACAGCACCTGGCCTCTTCCAGCCTTTAAAATCTGATTTATCTCTCCCTGCTATTAGATTGCATTCTCCTGGATCCAGTATTTTTCTCCCTGTTCCCCAAAGAAATCCCTGGATTCCCTCCCCTTCCCCAAAGGTGCCAACTGACAAGCAGATGTACTGCAAAAGGGATACTGCAGCCAAAACACTGCTGTTTTATTTTGAATTAAGTCTTGTGGAGCTCTCTTCATACTAGAATATTTTTATTTTCTTTGTACAACATACAATCATGTACTCTTAACAGAGATTTACTTTAAAGAGAAGAAAAAAAAAATCTGGAAGTATTCTTTAAAAAAAAAAATACACAAAAATCTTTATTAATAATCCTGTATTTTTACTGATCATGTTTGAATGTCTAAAAAGACTTTATTGTTCTAATTATCCAGATGTATGTTTGTAAAATAGCTCTTTTATGACTTAGCTGATCGGGTTGTATGTTTCTGGAATTAAATATTGGTCACTTAAAAAAAAAAAAAAAAAGAAATCTGTTTTCAGGACCTGGGAAATAGAAAATTTAAGCGTTTCAAATATCATTAAATAAGCTTAAAGGAAAATGAGCTTTGTCTGGTGGATTTTTTGGGGTGGTTTGGCTGTAATTCCTGGAGTGTTTAAAGGACAAATGATGGCAAAGGAAATTTTCCTTGGGGCTGATGAATTTTTCCAGAGATTGAAGTACCTTGATGGTATTTTTGCTGCTCAGAGTTAATGAATTATTAGTTAATTAATTGACAGAGTGCCCACTGCAGGAAAATAAATCCCCCCTTGCTCCAAGCTGTGCTGACCCTTCAGGAATTCCCTGCAGGAGTTGGAGCCTTGGTGTGTCCAAGGCCCTCCTGGGATTAGAAAGGGAATTTCTAAGTCATTTTTGGGTTACAGGAGCTTTAAGGTCCCTTCCAAGCCAAACCATTCCATGATCCAGGGGGTTCTGAGCAATTAGGGTGGCACTCTGTCCATCCACCTCCCTAAATGATAAAAAACAACTGTTTAATCCATTTGTTCTCTCAGCAAAGATCCCTTCAGTATTTGCTGAAAAATACCCATAATTTCCCCTTTTTTTGGTCGACTCCCAATGGATTTTAGGTTTTGTTCTTTCAAAATATTGATGGGAGGTTGGTGTAGGATGGAATTTGTCCAGTCCCTGGCACGAGTTCTTTGCCAGTTGGGCTGAGCATTTTGGGGGGAAATATTTCCCATCAGAGCTGGGCCCAGCACTCCCAGAATGGAAAAAAAAAAAAAAAAATTTGGATGTGCTTCCTTCAAAGTGTGATCCAGAATTAAATGGGAAAGAGCCTGGGGTTAACACTGAGCATATGCCTGGGTTAAAATGTTGGTTTGAGAAATCTTCCAACATTTTTTGGCACCTGTTATTATGATTAATATTAAAAAATTATATATAAAATGTATATATGTATTGAAAATACTGTTTAAAAAAAGGAGGCTCAGGGGAGTTTTTGAAGGAGCCAAAAGTTTTGATGCCACTTTCAGCTCCACCCTGGTGAGGTCAGGCAGTGAAAATAAAGCTGTGATTTGTGAGGGGCTTCAGAGCTTTTCTGCACGTTGGTGTCCAGCCCCATTCACTGATTTCATCGCTTCTGGAAAATAATCCTGGGAGAAGGAAATTGGGAATGAGAGGAAATGGCCTTGAGTTGTTCCAGGTGAGATTCAGGTTGGGCATTTCTGGTATTTCTCCTTGGGAAGGGAGGTCAGGCATTGGAGTGGGGCAGTGGTGGGGTCAGCATTCCTGGGATCTCCAAACCCTGTGGATGTGGCCCTTGAGGCTGAGTTCAGCATCCCTGGGATCTCCAGACCATGTGGATGTGGCACTTGAGGTTGAGTTCAGCATTTCTGGGATGTCCAAACCCTGTGGATGTGGCACTTGAGGCTGAGTTCAGCATCCCTGGGATCTCCAGACCATGTGGATGTGGCACTTGAGGTTGAGTTCAGCATTTCTGGGATGTCCAAACCCTGTGGATGTGGCACTTGAGGCTGAGTTCAGCATCCCTGGGATCTCCAGACCATGTGGATGTGGCACTTGAGGTTGAGTTCAGCATTTCTGGGATGTCCAAACCCTGTGGATGTGGCACTTGAGGCCGTGGTTTGGTGCTGCCATTGTGGCTGATGAGTTTTTATTATCATTTACTGATCTTCAAGGGCGTTTCCAACCTTAAAAATTCCATTATTCCATCCCAGTGCCTTTCTTGCTTGAGTCCTCCTGCATTTCTTCCCCATCCCAAACCAAAAATCCACCAGCCTTTCCTTTCATCAGGAAAACGAATTTTTTTTCCCCCTTCTTCCTCAGCTGCTGGGAGTTTACAGCTGCAAATCATCCAGTTGGGCTTTTGGCAGAATAAAACCCCCAAAATATCCCAGCCTCTTCCTTTCTTGCAGCAG